GGGAATACCAGGAAGGGGAGTGACATGGGAAGGGGAATAGTTCAGCAAAGGTAGGAAAAAAGATAAGACCGCTGCCCACAGGGAGAAGCAAGGTGATGGCAAAAGCCTCATTCTTTTCCCTTGGTAACTGCTACACTGTGAAGATAGGAAGGTCAGTTTATCTACAAAGGACCCCAGCTGCACAAGCATCATCCCAGCCTGGCTGGCACCTCAGACACACAAGAGTCCAGCTTGGGGTGCAACAACAAATTGTGTCAGCTAGGGGGAGCATCATCCTTGACATATGCAGGTCCTCCTGCATGCTCTAGGTCCAGTGTTTCTGGAAAATCTGGCAACTCGAAAATACAAGTTCAGTGGACCCCCTAATAGCCCTTAACACTACCTCAATCTACCTTGCTTTCAAGTTGCCCTCTTGGCAACTTTGCTTAATTGCGTACCTGTGGGTTCATGGGTGGGCATCCTTGTCTAAATCCTGTGTAATGTAAATCTTCAGAGCCAGGACTGAGGGAGCTACGTCTCCTTTCCATCTTGCTCTCCTCTACTGAATGATCTAATACATTTCTTTCTAAAACAATTTCAGTTTTTGGGATTTGTTATTGCAAACAATAATCTGAAGATATAAAATAAGACATACTCTTCTGACCCTTTGAATCGGCCAATGTGTTTTTTGCTCAACTAAGCATTTTTGTTACATGGGCTTGGTTCTTTTTTTCTTTTTGAGTAGGGAGTAGGAATTAGGGCATACAGGAGGGAGTAGGAGTAGGGATAGGATAGGGAAAGAAAAAAAAAAGAAAAAAGGGCCATTGTGGCATCTTTTATAAAAATGCAGAGACTAGAAGGAAAGGCAGAAAGAAACACAGACAAACATAGCTTTGAAAGCTACTGGTTGAACTTGTATAGTTAAAAAGAAAAGCGGAAAAGATCAAAGAAAAGAAAAGCAAGTAGGGGCGGCTAAGTGGCAAAGTGGATAGAGCTCCAGCCTTGGAGTCAGGAAGACCTGAGTTCAAATTTGACCTCAGACACCTGACACTTACTAGCTTGTGTGACTCTGGGCAAATCACTTAACCCTGACTGCCTCACCAAATAAGGAAAAAAAAAAAAGAAAAGCAAGCTCTACACGAAAGAGATGTACAATTCTATTTTTATTTTCTACTATATATGCAAATATCCACTTTATATAATGTTATGAACACCTTATAAAGGTTAATAAAAACAAAAATTTTAAAATAATGTTTAGAGAGATATGACTGAGGACTTGAGGGGACTCTGTCAATTTGGGCATTTCTCTCTCAAGCAGATCAATGCTTCAATTTAGAACAATGATAATTAATAAAAATTGTTCCTGGCAGGCTTCTGCTTATGACCCAGAGAATACTATCAACATTTTTTCTTGAACCATCCTGTGTGTGACAGCGACCCTAACCCAAATTAAACTCATAGACTTCTCAAGGTGGAAAGCAAAGGTTACCTTTATTACAATCTCGAGAGATGGCTGCTCCTATAGAGGTGGAGAAGGAGAGAGAGAGACCGCATCACGGGGGCCGCCTTAGAAAAGCAAATCTCCGCCCACCATGCAAAGTCTCCACCCACCACTATCCCTTACCCTCTTAACGGGGGTTGGGGGGGTGGGCTTAACATTCTAACTGGGAGGTGGGGCTTACATTTCAGGCGCGAAATTCAAAGACAAGGAAAGAGGCGGGAAGCCAAGGGCAAACGGCTTAGGCTGGGGGGCAGGACTTATTCTTTCTGTTACGTGCTTAAAAACAGGGTCTGAGTGGGGGAGGATTTTGAAAGTAATAATCAAGAATTATTGACCCTTTGAGGAGGCTTCACCTCTGAGAGTTCATCTCTCACAATCCCTTTCACCTCCGCTAGTCTGTGAGCCAATAAATATTAACAATTTGGTAAGACTCCTCTTTGGGAACTTCAAAGAGAAGCCCATAAAAATAAATCCAACTCACAACAATTTGTCCATCCCTCAGTATCTTGATTTCTTGTTACCCAAACCACACCGATCCCCCCCTTATCTTTTAGGCTTTCAGACTTCTGAGATGACCTCAAAGCCGCCAGTAGAGACTTGAGCTGGAAAATGGAGACTAGAGATTTAAGATTAACAAATACTTGTCTGATTAAACTACAAGAGAGGAGGCTACGGGGTATGGGTCCCAGGCCCCCCCCCCCAACTTTCCTTGAACTTTCCCACTTGGTCAAGTCTTGGGAGTTCACCTGAGGCTATAATCGTTTCAACTGGCCTTTCTTTGTGGCCTAAGCCCAAACCTCCAATTCGGTTACCTCTAACCTAGCCCAGCACTTCCTTCATTGTCTGGATGGCCCCAGGTCACATCCCACCCTTAATTCCTCCCAGTCACCCCCAGTCACTGTCCACTCCCATCCAGATCTTCCCATAGTCTTTCTCTGTGTGAGTGTCCATGTTGCCCCCCATTAAATCACTCAGATTCCTGAAGAGTCCAATGCTCAGATTTTAAAAACCTAGTCAATAGGTCGAATTTTTAAAATCTCCCTGATCTCAATGGGTGTTTTAATAAACTTTGTCTCTGACTGAAAGAAGGCTTGAGTTGAATTCTTTTGAGGCAGGATCCAAGTGTTCTGCCCTTGAATTTTGGCGTTCCCAGCACCCTTAGACTTCAAAAGAGGAACCCTGTACTGTATCCCCCTGCGACCTACTACAGTGCCATGCATATGGTAAGCTTAATAAATGTGTCTAAAGTGAAATGGAGTTGAAGGAAACCAATGGCAATGGTGGTGAGGAAGGCCATGTGGTGACGAAGTCCTCTAACTTCAAGCCTGGGACCTGTGGCAGTGCCTCAGGGGAAGTGGAGAGGTGATGGATTGATTTCTCCACCAAGATAAACACCAGTGCCCCTGGGTCTTTGATACTCTAGGGTTCTTTGGCTGCAAATGTCCACGGTGGTTGTAGTAGAAAAGGAGGCTATCTCTATTGCAAGATTCCCAAAGACAAGGGCTAGAAATTAGTCAGCTGGTAATGTTGGGGGAAGGGGGGAACAGGAGCCAACCTTCCAATCCCACTTCAGGTTGCCTAGCTGTGTTTTTTTTTAACTCCCCTTTGGTTTTACTCAATTCAACAAACCCTCTTGCAACTCACATCTTCCAAGAGATGCTTTGTAGCGGGAAAAGCACTGTTTTGGGGGGTCAGAGGATAAGGATTCGTCTTAAATAACTTTCTGTAGGACCTGGGGCAAGACACTTAAGCTCCCAGCCTCAGTTTCCTTTAATTAAAACAGGGTTGCTAAACGACCTTTATTCTACATCTTTCCAGGGTCTCTCAGATTTGCCAACCCCAAACACCTCTGTCCAAAGCATCATACCCCTAGGAAGGAACTTCTTCCTTAGAGTCTTAGACTCTTCCTTCATTGTCTTGGTATCCTGGGCCTTGGCCTTGGCATGAGCCCTATATTCCAGGGATCCTGCCTTGGGGAGTTGGTGTCTGGAGAATTTTTAGGGTCCTTACTAGCCCCAGACAAAGGAGCCAGCACAGGACAGAATGCAGAAAGTAAACTATAGTTTGCCATTTCCTTTTCCAGGTGGGGAAACTGAGGCAGAGTTAAGTGATTTGCCCAGGGTCACACAGCTAGTGTCTCAGGATGGATTTGAACTCAGGAAGAGGAGTCTTCCTGACTCCAGGCCCAGAACTCTATCCACTTCACCACCTAGCTGCCCAACCTCAGATGTTGAAACCTATACTCTGGGATTTAGTGAGGGGAGGGTAACATTGGTGTATAAACTGGGCTGCTGGCATCTCAGGAATTTTAACTTGTATGGACTTTTTTTTTTTGTTTACATTATTATCCTTCCCTCTCTCACCTCCATGCAGGTCTTATTGCTTGTCTCATCAGGAAGGCAATCCTAGGTTCTGGAATGTTATGGAGTGAAAGTCTGGGCACATTTTACAAAGCTAGGTGGTGCAGTGGATAGAGCACTTGGCCCTGTAGTCAGAAGGACCTGAGTTCAAATCCAGCCTCAGACATATAACACTTACTAGCTGTGCGACTCTGGGCAAGTCACTTAACTCTGCCTCACAAAAACAAACAAAAAAAAACTTCATAAAGATTCCATGAAGGGATAAAAGGATTTCCATCCAACCAGGAGCTGTTATTCTGCCACATATGTTCCCTAAGCTTGAGCTTGTGTGGGGCAAAGACCACTTACTCAAAATTAAAACAGAGACTTAAATACCTTGAAAGCAGAAAGAAGTTTATTGCTTTCTCACGAGAAAGGGTACCAACCCTCGGCCAGGAGAGTACTTATTCGGTACAGAAATCAAGGTTTATTTATACCCTAACTCAAGCTTCTCCTCCCTAATCCCCTTCCCCTTATCCCACTGGCTGGGCTTCAGGGAGCACAATCCATTCACAGCTCCAGCAACAGAGACACAAGTTTGTCCAGAGACAAGAAAGAGAGAGAAGTTTTGCAAAGGCAAGCAGTTCAGGTTGGGGGTAGGGCTCTTCTTTTTGCTACCTTGCTTAAAAAACAGGGTCTGAGAGGGGGAGGGTTTTGAAAACAATACAAAAACTATTAACAAGAACTACTGACCTTTTGAGGAGGCTTCACTTCTGAGAGATTATCTCTCACAAGCTCACTTGCCTCAGCATTCTATTTTTTTTCCTTAATAGTATTTTTCTTTTTTCCAATTACATGTAAAGATAGTTTTCAACATTCATTTTTGTAAAATTCTGAGTTGCAAATTTTTCTCCCTCCCTCCCTTCCCCCTTCCCCAAGACAGCAAACTATCTGATATAGGTTATACATTACAATTACATTAAACATATTTCCACATTAGTCATGGCGTGAAAGAAGAATCAAAACAAAAAGGGAAAACCACAAGGAAGAAAAAACAAAAAACAACAAAAAAGTGAAAATAATATGCTTTGATCTGCATTCAGACTCCATAATTCTTTCTCTGGATGTTTTCCTCAGCATTCATTATGTACTTGTAGAAGAGTATGTCCCATATTTTTAGAAATGTTTTATACATCTTTTATTAGTAGTAAATATCCCTAACAAAAAGCTAAGAAACCTGAACTGGTCATTAATGGGGAGCACACTGGTGGGGACTCATAAGATGCTGTATTAGAAAAACATTCTCAATGCCTCAGAGTTACTCCTAGAACAGTGGGACCCAAACTGTCAGTACAAATTGGGGTTAGGAGTGAGAGAAGTGATTATTTTTCTATTATATTAATAAGCAATTATTAAAATGGGATCCAGGCTTTTCTTATTTCCTCATTCAGGGCCAGTCCTTATAGGTCAGGTCAGCACCTCTGAAGGCCTTGGGGAATATGCTCTGAAGTCTTGGGCAGGACACCACCCAACTAGGAGACCTTACTTCTGTTTAGAGTGTAAAAAGAATCTAATCTAGATGAATTTCAGCCCCAAAGCATTAGTCCCTTTTACTATGCCCCACCATTGGAATTTAGGGGGACCCAACTCGTGAAGGAGAAAAGCAATCAGAATGGTCTGGGCAGAGATGGATTCCTTTGTTAAGATTGCTGGAGGTGGCTGAGTCTCATGATCAAGCCAAGTTCTCAGCAGGAGGAACTGAAGACTTTTTTTTTTTGGTATCAAATTTGTTTTATTCTTTACAGTTTCTCAATCATCTTGATTCAGTCATTAGCGCTGCTTCCGTCTGAAGGAGCATCCTTCCGTAAGTCTTGCCTTTCCTCCTGTAGGCTGACAGAGCACAGTGGAGCATCCCACACCGAGAACCACCATGTGTGCATGGCTGAAGACAGTGGTGATTTTATAGCACTCTGGGCACTTTACGTCCATGAAATACGAGTTTGGACTCTGCACCAGGCACTTCTTCTTGTGTTTCTGCTTCTCCTCCTCAGGAGAGGGGTGCAGGAAGTCTTTGGCGAGAGGCATGGTGGCACGGGCAGATCTTCACCGCTGGAAAATCAGCTGAAGACTTTTTAGCTCACCTTCTCATTAACTGTTCACCAACCAGGATTGATTTTCAGTTGTCAGAGGCACTCCCTTTTCCAAAGGTATTTAAAACATTCGTTGTCTCCACTGACCATCAATTTATTGTCAGCTAGCCTAATTAATAACTTGATTATTAATTACCCAGAAACTCTGCCTCTCGGGCTTTTCATTTGTCTTAGGAGAGAGAACCTCTGGGTGAGGGATCAAGGTAGTGGAGGCTACACAGATAATTATAGTTTATATATAATTTTACAGTGACAAAATGTTTGCATACATTTATTTCATTTTACCTTCACAAAAGCCCTGTGAGAGAGTGGGCAATTAACTTCATTTACCATATAAGGAAACCGAGGTTCAAAAGTTAAGTGACTCACTCCCAGTAACTTGGCTAGGAATGGATTTTAACCTAGACCTTCTTATACTATGATGACCATATAAAGTGCTTGCTGGGGGTTCGTTATTTACTAATCCACAATGCAATACTCTTCATCAAAGAGCAACGTGGAACAATGGAAAGAGTGTTAGATTTGGACTCCGGAAAAGTGGGTTCTCAAACTTATTAGTGGGCCTACTGGCAAGTCCCTTTTTCTGAGCATGTTTCCCCACTTGTAAAGTGCATACAATAATACTTGTACTCGTCAAAGGGGAATAGAATGGAATGAAACAAACATTTATTAAGCACCTACTAAGTGTCAGGCACTAAAGGTACTTTACAAATATTTATCACATTGAATCCTGACAACAAACCCTGTGAGGTAGTTGCTATTACGATTTCCCTTTTACAGTTGAGTCTAAGACTTACAGAAGGATGCTTCTGCGGACTGAAGCAGCGCTAATGACTGAATCAAGATGATTGAGACACTGTAAAGAATAAAACAAATTTGATACCAAAAAAAAAAGTCTTCAGCTCCTCCTGCTGAGAACTTGGCTTGATCATGAGACTTAGCCACCTCCAGCAATCTTAACAAAGGTTAAGGAACCTGCCTAGGGTCACAGCTATGAAGTATCTGAGGCTGGATTTGAACTCAGGTCAACTGGCTCTTTCAGGCTAAGCCTCTTGGGGCCCTGCATTGTAAAAGAGTCCAGTGTCTAATCTCTCAGCTATGTATGTCCAGAACCTGGATTACTGGCTTGCCAAGTGGAGGGCAAAGGGGCTCATTCCCACACTAACTCACCAGAGGCCAGGTTACAAATAGAATATCAGTTCATTCATTTATTGTGGGGGAATAAACATTTCCAAGTGTTTATGTGCCAGCAATCCAGAGCATTTCCTTCTTAGCATCAGTTGGCCTAGAGAAAGAGAAGGCCATTAGCTAAATTGCAATAAGAGCAATGAAGAAGAAGGATATGTCATCCAGACAATGGTGTCGTCCCACTTGCTTCACTGTAGACCAGGAGTTCTTAACCTTTTTTGTGAGCTGGACTCCTCTGGCAGTCTATGGTGCTCTTCTCATTAGGACGCTTCTAAGTGCAAAGAACAAAATACATAAGCTTACAAAGATAACCAATTATATGAAAATAAAGATTTTTTTTCCCCATCCAAGTTCACAGGGGTTTGGGTTCTGTAGATTAAAAAGCTAGGTTAAGAACCCTTAGAAGAAGGAGGGACAGAGGAAAAAAGGGAAAGAAGGAAGGGAAGGGAGAGAAGGAAAGGAAGCAGGGAGGAAGGGAAAGAAGTAAAGAAGGATGGAAAGAGGGAAGGGAAAGAAAGAAAGGAAGGAAAGATGGAAAGAAGGAAGGGAAGGAGGGAGAGAAGGAAAGGAGGGAAGGAGGGAGGGAAAAGGAAAGGGAAGGAGGGAGGGAAAAGGGGAGGGAAGGAGGGAGAGAAGAAGGGAGGAAAGGAGGAAGGAAAGGAAATATTGCTTGAGCATTTATTGTGTGCTCATCATTTAACCAGGACCAGCCTGGTTAAATCTGAGGCAGTAGATTCTCCAGGCTGGCTGAGGGGGATGAAGTTTCAGTAACAACAGCTCTCAAAAGACCAGCTACTTATTAAATTTTGAAGAGACTGTTAGCTAGGCTGGAGGAGGGAGTGCCCACATTCCACACTAGAGAATACCTGGAGCCTCAAAACACTGACACATAAGAGCCTTGGATCCCAGGTAAAGAAGCCCCCGCTGTAGAACCTCCCTTCTTCTTTGACAAGATTGCATAATTGCTCCATGAGCTCCTCTCTCTCTCCCTCTCTCTCTCTCACTTTTTTTTCAGGCAATTGGGGTTAAGTGACTTGCCCAGGGTCACACAGCTAGTAAGTGTCAAGTGTTTGGTCTGAGGCTGGATTTGAACTCAGGTCCTCCTGACTTCAGGGCTGGTGCTCTATCCACTGCGCCATCTAGCTGCCCCCATGACCTCCCCTCTTTGACAAGACCTGATAATTGCTCTAGAACCTTCCCTCTGTGACAGGATATGGTGATTGGTTGGATAGAGGGGGGTCACAAAGATGGAAGAATCAAACACAGCCTCTAGGATTTTCACCACAAGACTGAGATTGTGGTGGTGCCATTGACAGAAATGGGCACAAGGGAAAGGGAGAGGGAAAATCAGGGTGATTTTGGACATTCTGGGTTTCAGGTGATGGTCAGTTGTTCCTGTACAAGCTAAATCCTGTGGTTCTATGATTTAAATTTGCTATATTCAGGGGCAGCTAGGTGGTGCAGCGAGAGCACCGGCCCTGGAGTCAGGAGGATCTGGGTTCAAATTTGGCCTCAGACACATAATACTTCCTAGCTGTGTGACTCTGAGCAAGTCACTTAACCCCAATTGCCTCACTAAAAAAAAAAAAACCAAAAAACAAGTTAATAATTAAATAAATGAATGAATAAATTGCTGTGTTCTATTTGCATTAGGAGATGGAGACCCAGAGCTCAGGTAGTTCATATCTATAAATTTAGTAGATGAGTTTTACCTTTTTTGAGAAAGAGGATCTGAAGTATTCTCTCACTCCTTTGCGTGAGTCAACTGCCCTCCAGAAGTACAGCAAGGGCCTCAGGACTGATAGAAACGCTCCGTTGAGACAAGAGTTCGTGGAGCCTGGTGGCTGTGGCTTTTTCCCTCTCCTGGTTCCGCCAGAGTTGGAACATGTGGAAGATTCGCATGGTGGTCCCGGAGTGGTCTTCCTCCAGCCTATCCAGTTGGTGCTGCTGAAGGCCCAGGCATATTATTCCCAGCTGCCGCCATTCATGCCCCACATGCTGGGCTAGCTTCATCAGTGTTTTTTGGGTCACCACTGGCTCAGCTAGACATGGGAAGGTAAAGTTGGTCATTCTTGATGTCTCCCCTCCCTAAGCTTTGGTCCTATGGGGGAAATGAGGGCCATGGGCACTGATTAAACACCTATTTGTTAGGAAATAGCTGAATAAATTATGGTATATGACTATAATGGAACATTATTGTTCCATTAATGACAAAAGGGATGGGTTTCAGAGAAACCTGGGAAGAGCTCTACGAATTGATACAAAATGAAATGAATAGAACCCAGGGAAAGATTTTATAATAACACTGTCAACAAAAACGCCTTTAGTAGACTTAAGAAATGTGATGACCAACCATGATTCCAGAAGACTGATGCTGAAGAATGCTACCTACTTCCTGAGATGTGATTGGCTCAGAATGCAGAATGAGAAACCTTTTTGGACATGACTGATTGGGGAATTTGTTTTGCTTGATTATCTATGCATCCTTGTTACTAAGACTTTGTCTTTTTTTAATGGGCAGAGGAGAAGTGGAAGGGAAAGAAAAATAAATGCCTGTTCATTTTTTTTTAATTTTAAGGTAAAAAAATTTTTAAATCACCGATGTGGCACAAGGATACCAACTGAATAGGCAATGGAGGGGTCAAGCAAACACCAGAAGCACAGCTCTAGAGCTGGGAGGGACCGCAGAGGCCTGCGAATTCAATACCCAGTGTCACAAAAAGAAAATAGCAGAGCTAGGGTTATAAACTGAGTTCTATCTCCAAATCCAAAGCTGAGTCCATGACATCAGGATTCATGTCCTTCACCATTTGAGAAAGCGATCAGGCCACAGGTAACACAATAATATGGCAATTAATAAGCTTTAAGGAGAGTAAGGGGGTCACTGAAGATGAGCAGAGCCATGCCAGGCTAAGAAGAGGCATCAGATCTTACCTAATCCTATGGGTGGCTCTCTTCTAGTATGGGAGCTGATGATGCTGGTCTCCTGTCCCCGAGGACTATCTTCAAGCCTCCCCTCTCCAAGTTTTTCCAGGAGGTGCCGAGCAGGGATATGGTCCAGAGCCTGGGCCACCACACTCAAGGCTCTGGGGCCACAAGAGCACACCAGGTGGTAGGCAATATCTTCCCGGGAGGCAGTTGGAAGTGACCAGGCTGATGCTTCCGGCTTTTGCTGAGACACAACTTTCTTGAACGTCTGGAAATCTGCATCTTTCAGATCCCGGAGCACTTCAAAAATCTGCACTTCCTGGTTCATGAGGCCAGCTCACCTGGGCAAGCAATGCGGTAGGGGTTGGGTGACCATGAAACAGGGAGAGAAACACCATGACCAGTTAAGGAAATAGGGGGGTGGGGAGAGACAATTGAAAGAAAAAGACCTGGAGGTTAAGGTGGTAGGGGCCATGCTATAGGGACTGACAGAATGGGTGGGGGTGTGTGTGTGTGTGTGTGTGTGTGTGTGTGTGTGTGTGTGTGTGTGTGTGTGTGTGTGTGTGTGTGTGTGTGTGTGTGGTGTGTGTGTGTGTGTGTGTGTGTGTGTGTGTGTGTGTGTGTGTGTGTGTGTCACACCAAAGGGTGAAGAACTTGGAGTGGGCTCAGGTGGGAAAGGGAGATCTTGATGACTCAATACAGGTGAGTCTTGGAGAACAGAAACCTCAGGAAATACAGGGCTTTTGCAGTAGGCAGGTCATGCGGACCCTGGGACAACATTGCTTGTCCCGCCTCCTCTCCCTCCCTCAGCTTTCTCTTTAGGTTTAGCGCCGGGAGGACTTCTCCCAAGGAAGCCCGGGCCACAGATACGCTGTCTCAAACACTCTCTGTACATCGTCGGGGGTAGGAGAGGGAAGATGGAGAAGAGGAGGACGGAGAAGGAGGTCGCTCCTCTTTTTCCGCGCCCGCAGGGTCAACAGTCCCTTTTAAGCGGCCGCCCCTCCTCTCCCCCCAGTCCGAGAAGGACAGAGGGGGCTAGCCACCTGCGCACTGTGGTGCCCTCCATCCCGAACGTCTCACCTGATCTCGCCAAGTTGTCCGCTGACGCCGAGTAAAACCTGGGCTAGCTCGGTTCCCGGGTACCGTTCTATCAGAGAGTCCGCGGACAAAGGCAGTGGCGGTCCCTGGCTGGCTCCGCCCCAGACGCAGAGCGAGGAAAGCCCGGCGCCAATCAGCCTCGATGAGAGCTCCGAGTCCGGCGGGGAAAAGGAAAAACGACAATCCCCACCCCCAAGTGTTAGCACTTTTTTGTATTAGAAGCATGAAAACGAAAGTGTAAGGTGGAAGTTGAGCTAAGGAGCTAAGGAGCTCTTTCCCGCCCCCCACCCCCAGTCCTCCCTGCCTCCAAATCCAGAGTCTGGGGTTCTTCCTTTCTACTGCACCAGATTCCCAAAGAGACCCACCTAGAGAAGGGCTAGACGTTAGCTAGCTGGGGGCATTGGGGGAAGGAGGGAACAGGAGCTAACCTTAACGTTCCGGTAGCCAGTTGTTTTCAATTCCTTTTTTGGCTTTATCCAATTCAACAAGCCCTTAGGGAACTCATAAATCTTCCCAAGAGATTTTGTAGAGATAAGAACACTGTTTTGGAAGGCCAGAGGATAAGGGTTCAAATTCCATTTGTTCCTAAATCTCTGTCGCCATGCCCTCGGGTAATGTAAGTGCAAGACTGAACCTTCCTGGTCCAGAAGTCTTATCTGTACTCTGGGTCTTTGATGGTACCCCGTGACTGGAGGGCAGGGCCATTGGCTCCAGGACCTCTCTTTAGGGAAGGGCTCAGAGAAGTCGTCTCCCCGTTTCCCACCTGCTTTTGGAGTTCACCATCATTTACCGCAGCTTCCCTTGCCCCAACACTTAGGTTTCCTTTTGTATATTGCCTTCTCCCATTAGATTGTAAGCTCTTCGAGAGCAGGGACTGACTTTTTTTTTTGACTAGGCAACGGGGTAAAATGACTTGCCCAGGGTCACACAGCTAGTATATAACTGAGGTAGGATTTGAACTCAGGTCCTCCTCAATTCAGGGCCGGTGCTTTACCCACTGCGCTGCCTAGCTGCCCAGCTGCCCCTAGGGACTGACTTTTTGAAAGACTTGTAATTGTGTCTCCAGTACCTGGCCCATAGTAGGCACTTAGTGAATGTTTATTGACTCACTGATTGACTTTGATTCTCAGCCTCAGTTTCCTTATCTATAAAACTAGAGTGTTGGGCAAAATGACCTTTAAGGTATCTTCTAGCTCTAAATGTGTTATTCTAAGTCTTTCCAGGTTCTCCCAAATTCCCTCCTAGCCCCAAACCCTTCTTTGTCCAAAGCTCCTACCCCTAGGAAGGAACTTCTCTCATCCTTAGTCTAAGTGTTTTCCCTTGGTAACCTGCTCCTGGTCCTTGGGGGGACTAAGGGGGGGGCAGGGAAGAGAGGGTATATTCCTGTTATCCTGTCCTGGACACTGGCATTGTTTTGGGGACTGGCTTAAGAGTTGAGAAGCTGAAGACTTCCACTGACCTAGGGTATTGATGTGTTTTTCCTGGGCTTTGGAAAGACTTATTTGTGTATGATTTTAAAAGATGTAAGTAATCTGATCAATGAAATGAACAACGAGGATTGTAGAGAGTCAATGATGAAGAATGCTACCCACCTTTTCACAGAGAGGTGATGGACTCTGGGTGTAGATTGAGACATATGTTTTTAGAAATTGTCAGTATGGGAATTCATTATTTGGGAATAACATATTTGTTACAATGGGTTTTTCTTCCCCATGATGGGGTGCTTGGGTGCTTGTGCTTGTACTTGGACCCCAATTTCTCCCTAGTCTCTGAAACACTGTCTCTGACAACCACTCCCCAGCCCAAGGACACTGTGCCTAGCAGTTATTCATGCATGGGCCTCAGCGAGACCCTTATCTCTCTTCCTAGTCCAGCTACACAAAGCTGGGCGAGAGAGTGCTGGGCTGCTCAGGCCCCAACCCACAGATCATGTCTCTGGAAGCCTCCCAATTCCTTAGTAAGTTCCTGTCTTGTGAGAAAGCTTTCCCTTGTTGCAGAGCATTCTCTCATCAAGACAGAGAGAGAAGGGTGCCTTGCCCAGCCCAAGGACTCTTTCTCCTGCCAGACTCCAAAGATCCATACCTCTGTCATCTCCCTCCTTGTCCGGTATACTCCCTGTGCTTTCCCATCCATAGCCCCCAAAGACACCTGCACTTTTGGATTACCTCATCAGTGTCCCTGGCATTCCTTTCCCATGCCCTTTTCCATATAAATCCTAGCTCCATCCTCAGTCTCTCGAAGGTTCCTTAAGAATCCTTGCCTGCAGAAAAGCGTAACAATAAATCTTTGCCACCTTGACTTGAAGAATGCTTGAGTCTGTGAATTCATTCCAGACCACCCGGCCTGTACTCTGGTCTTTGAGGGGTCTCAGTCTCTCAGACCACAATACCCACAGGGGTGAGAGGGGGAAAAAATGCTTGATAATTGAAAAAATAAAATGTAGTTTAAAGAAAAACCTGTCACTGCCATTTGTCCAAGTTTTACAACTTTTATTAGGTTAAAAAAAAAAAGAATTTCAAATCTGAAAAGTGAACATCTTTTTACTTGTTGAGTCATTTCAGTTGTGTTCAACTCTTCATTACCCCATTTGGAGTTTTCTTGGCAAAGATACTAGGGTAATATGCCATTTTTTTCTCTAGCTCATTTTACAGGTGAGAAAACTGAGGCAAACAGGGTTAAATGACTTGCCCAGAGTCATACAGCTTGTAAGTGTTTGAAGCTGGATTTGAACTCTGGTCTTCCTGGCTCTAAGCTCTGTGCTCTATCCACTGTGCCACCTAGCTCCTCATGAGCACCCTTTAAAAAGTGCAAATGTAATTATTTCAAGTCTGAAAAGGGCACATCCTTACAAATACTTAATAACATAAATTAAAATAATGTGACCGCTTCAAGGGATTCCTTATTCTCACTAGTCAGGATCTAGCTGTATTACACTATTTTGCTGGTTCATTCAATGACATTCTGCCTTCTCATAGGCTTGGAGAAGATGTGGAACAAGTCCATCAGGGGCTTGACTTGGGGCAACAGGTAAGTCTACCTGGAGCTTGCCTACTGCTTCAAGTATCACAAAAGTAACCGAGAAGGGTCACTTATCTCCTATGGCTATATCACATTTGTGAAACTGACTTTTTGAGCCCCGATATAAGACTTTACATTTGTCCCTATTACAATTTAGCTAATTTGATATGGTCCAGTGTTCTAGCTTTCTTTTGGCTCCTGACTTTGTTACCCAATATATTAGCTTCCATTTCCATTGTAAAGATGGTAGAGTGATAGAGAAGGGGACAGAGAATGCTAATAATCACACAATGATAGCCTACATATACATTTAAATATATGTGCACTGATAACCATTCCTCCCCTCCCCACTACTTAATGCTCTCCTCCTCATTCCAACAGTTGACCTTCTAGGAGCATTGGGGTGTGATTCCAATATGTAGGCCCCAAAGGTGAAAGATCTGGTATTTTAGAATGAAACCCTGAGAAATTTCCTAATCACCCCCCACCCTGTGACAATAGCAGATAGATAGCAAGTTACGTATTTTTAAAGCTCTGCCCTCATGGCTTTAACTTTCCATGCATCATGGTAAATAAATTATTCTCTGCTTTAACTGTTCCCTTAAGTTAGTTGGGAAATAGAGGTGGAATACCCTGTCCCCTACTTTGCTGCTGGCCCCTCCTGGAGTGTGGATTCAACCTGGTGAGATTGTGCTTACATCCCCCTGATCTTTCCTGATTTGTGTTTTCTTTTCTGAGTAGGTGACAGAGCATTAAATTCAAGGTGGATGTGTCCAGGATTACAAGTGACCTTGTGAGTTCAAAAGGTTCAAAGATGCTAGGACCCAATGAGAAGAACAGTTGATCAAAGCAGATGTAGGGAGGTATTGACTATGTGATCAGTTGAATATGAAACTTGGAGGAGGTTCAGGTTTGGGATGAAATGGTGGTACAGAGCTTAGGTGAAAATGCAAAATGGCTAATCAAAAATCATATAAATTATTTTTATTTTCTGGTAAAATATTATTTCCTCAGAAGATTATATCAGTAGTTCTAAGTTAAATTATTAAATCCTGTTCTGTTAATGTGTGCTTGTGAATTTTTTGTGTTTAGCCTTTCTTTATATATATATAGGAATACGTATATAGGAATAAATAAATAAATTACCCTGTCCCATACTTCATTCATACTGTACATTGATTATTATTATTATTATTATTATTTGCTCCCTCATTTTGAGGAATCCCTAGATGTGAGCCATAACCTTAAGTATTTTTTTTCACCAGGGCATTGGGGTGGGAGGCTTAATTGTGTTAAAATTATATCTTATTCTAGTCTTCCTGACCATCCCTTTTCCCTTCCCCCAGTTTGTATAGTGAATAAGTTTATAAGTAGCCAGGACAAAGTAATGATAGCAGGAAAGGGGAAACTAGAAATCTCTTACAGACTGTCTCATAGATAAAAGGAGCATAATAGTTATTTGCAAACCGTCTCATAAATTAACTAGAACCCATGTCCTGAGACTATGTGCTCAATCAGGGGAAGCCAGCTATAAAGGTCCTTTGGGCTTGTTAATTGCCGTACTTTATCCAGATGTGCACAGTCAGACCAGAAGAATACCAGATCTTACTAACTTTGAAATGATGCGGATATTAATGAGCTAATTCTATGGTGTTGCTGGTAACTTTGAGATAATATAGATATGTTAATGAATGGATAAGAGTCAGTCTACCATCAAAATCCTGAAAAACTGAAACCCCTTCACCCCCAAACTGCCTTCCCCAACACTCTTCAATCTCCAACTGGTCCATGAGGCCTGAGCGCTCCCAAATCTGATCCCCTGTTACTTAAGTGACTCTCCCCCTCCCATTCTCTTCCTTACTGCCTGCCTTCCTCCATCACCCCATCCCTATCCCCATGCTATCTGCCTGTGTAATATACCCCCACACCATTTGTGCCTATATTTTATGTGCCATTTGCCTCTGAACTCTCTGTGCCTAATTAAAGGGTGATTGAAGTATTTCTCCCTAACTCTGCCATTGTGATCTTTCCTGGAAGTATACAAAGAACTAGATGTATCTGCTTCCCGCTTGAGCTAGAAGTACCCTCTTGTATTTTATAGATTAATTGCAATTTAAGTGGTGCATTGAGCAGGGTATTCCATGGGAGACAGCATTGGCCAGCTAAAATGGACTTAAGGATAGCATTATTTTTTAAAAATTAATTAATTAATTTTTAGTTTTTTAATATTCACGTCCATAAGATTTTGAGTTTTAAATTTTCTCCCCCTCTTTCTCCTCCTCCCCCAAGATGGCATGCAGTCTGATATAGGCTCTACTTATACATTCATATTAAGCATATTTTCCTATTAGTCATGATGTAAAGAACAGTTAGAACTAATGGGAGGAATAAGGACAGCATTATTAAGGGGCAGTCACCTCACCAAATACGGTAAGTGAACTTTTTAGGACCTTGGCCCTCTCAGGCTGAAGCTGTTAAATATGTCCTCACCACGGTGGATGCTTATACTGGACTTTTGCTATGACAGCTGTGTAAGGACCCCAAAGTCTATCATCTCATCACTAGACTGTCAAAGGAAATTCTTGTACCTTTTAGCCCTCCCACAACCATCCACAGTGACTAGGGCGCATATTTTACTGCCCAGGACATGTAGCAGTGGGCAGAGGACAATGATATCTTGTCATTTTTTTTTTTTAGTCAATTGGGGTTAAGTGACTTGCCCAGAGTCACACAGCTAGTGTCAAGTGTTTGGTCTGAGGCTGGATTTGAACTCAGGTCCTCCTGACTTCAGGGCCAGTGTTCTATCCACTGCAACATCGAGCTGCCCCAATATCTTGTCATTTTTATAGCAGCCCCAGGCTGCTGGACTGATTGAAAAGCATAATGAACTCTTAAAAACCACCTTGCTCAGAGATAGAAAGAGAAATTCCATTTAAAGTTACTGTACCAAAACAAACGCAGCAACTATATGAACACAATTACAAAACACTTTCCACACAAATAAAGTCAGATCTAAATAATTGGAAAAACATCAGTTGCTCATGAGTAGGCTGAGCTAATATAATAAAAATGACAATTCTACCTAAACTAATTTACTTATTCAAATCCATACCAATCAAATCACCAAAAAGTATTTTATAGTGCTAGAAAAAATAACAACAAGATTCATTTGGAATAACAAAAGGTCCAGAATATCAAGGGAACTAATGAAAAGAAATGCAGGGGAAGGTGGCCTAGCCACTCCAGATCTTAAATTGTATCATTTATTTATGTATTTATTTGTTTGTTTGTTTGTTTATTTATTTATTTATTTTTAGGCAATTGGGGTTAAGTGACTTGCCCAGGGTCACACAGCTAGTTAGTGTCAAGTGTTTGGTCTGAGGCTGAATTTGAACTCAGGTCCTCCTGACTTCAGAGCCAGTGCTCTATCCACTGTACCACCTAGCTGCCCCATTTAAATTGTATCATGAAACAGTAATCATCAAAACTACTTGGTACTGGCTAAGAAATAGAGTGGTGGATCAGTGGAATAGGTTAGGTATGTAAGACACAGTAATCAATGACTATAGTAATCTACTATCTGATAAACCCAAAGACCCCAGCTTCAGGGATAAGAGCTCACTATTTGACAAAAACTGGTGGGAAAACTGGAAAAGAGTACGGCAGAAACTAGGCATAGACCAAAATCTCACATATATACCAAAATAAAGTCAAAATGGGTCCATGATTTAGCTATAAAGGCTGATACTATAAGCCAACTGAGAGAGCAAGGAATAGTTTACCTGCCAGATTTATGGAAAACAGAATTCATGACCAAACAAGAGATGGAGAACATTATGAAAGGCAAAATGGATAATTTTGATTACATTAAATTGAAAAGGGTTTGCACAAACAAAGATAATGCAACCAAGATTAGAAGGAAAGTAGGAAACTGGGAAAGAATTTTTACAACCAGTGTCTTTGATAAGGGCCTCATTTCTAAAATATATAGAGAATTAAGTCAAATTTATAAGAATACAAGTCATTCCCTAATCAGTAAATGGTCAAAGGATATGAACAGGCAGTTCTCAGATGAAGAAATTAAAGCCATCTATAGTCATATGAAAAAATGCTGTAAATCACTACTGATTAGAGAAATGCAAATCAAAACAACTCTGAGGTACCACATCACACCCATAAGATTGGACAACATGACAAAACAGGAAAATGATAAATGTTGGAGAAGATGTGGGAAAATTGGAACACTAATGCATTGTTGGTGGAATTTTGAAGTGATCCAACCATTTTGGAGAGCAATTAGGAACTATGCCCAAAAAGCTATAAAAATGTGCATACCCTTTGACCTAGCAATAGCACTTCTTAGGGCTCTATCCCAAAGAGATCATATAAATGGGTAAAGGACCCACAAGTACAAAAATATTTATAGCAGCTCTTTTTGTGGTGGCAAACAATTGGAAATTGAGGGGATGCCCATCAATTGGGGAATGGCTGAGCAAGTTGTGGTATATGAATGTAATGGAATACTATTATGCTATAAGAAATGATGAGCAGGCAGTCTTCAGAAAAGCCTGGAAAGACTTGTATGGATTGATGCTGAGTGAAGTCAACTGAACCAGGAGAATGTTGTACACAGGAACAGCCGTGTTGTACGATGACTAACGTTGACAGACTTAGCCCTTCTCAGCAATGCAAGGATCTAAGACATCTCCAAAGGTCTCATGATGGAAAATACCATTCACATCCAAAGAAAGAACTATAGAGTTTGAATGCAGATTGAAGCATACTATTTGCTATGTTTTTCTTCTGTTGTGTTTTGTTTCCTCTTTCTGATGGTTCCTCCTATTGGTTCTAATTCTTCCTTACAACATCACTAATGTGAAAATATGTTTAATAGGAATGTATATGTATAGCCTATATTGGATTGCATGCCTTCTTGGGGATGGAGGAGGAAGGGAGAGGGAAGAAATTTAAAACTCAAAAGATTATGGAAGTGATTGTTGATAAATCAAAATAAATTAATAAAAAAACCCCACCTTGCTCAAACTTCTAGGGGGAAACTGAACCCTGAAGTAGGCAGAAATAGTACATGGAGCACTTTGCACATGGAACAGTTGCTTTTATGTCCCCTTGAGCTCCCACCAAAATGCCTACAACCCACATCTTGGTCATTGCCTCCTTCTGCAGGGCAAGGCCAAAAACCTCAAATGGTATCTTGAAGGGCTCCTAGACTCTCTAACCCCCAACCCTTAGGGAAACCTACACTGCTTCCCCCTCACAGTAGTTGGAGGCCAGGGAGTGGAGGAGGGTGAAGCTGGATGGGTGGCACACAAGGGTGATGCAATGGAATCCCCTGAACATAGAGGGCAGGGATATTGACACGATACCAATGGCCAGCCCACCCCAGGGCACCATGTTTGCCACACTGACAGGTGGGATGATGAGGGCAACATTGAGCACTGATGGCATTTCCTCTGTGTCCTCTATGTAACTGCCAAGCCACAGAGGGGAGTGAGCCATCAGACCAGGAAAGCCTCTTGCCCAACAGCACAAGGTGACAGTCTGAACTCCAACTAAAGGCTCTGGGCCCATGTCAGAAGGAAATTCAAGCATGTCCTCCCGCCCTGGAGGAGGGGATAAGCGTCATGGGGACTGCCATGGAAACTACTCCATTGATGGTGCAGGACACTTGTGAGCTCATAACGCTGGTCATGTCACAACTCACAACACCTGTAGTCCAGGACTTCTACTCCAACACCACCTTGGAACTCACAACCAATGGAGTCACAATCCAAGAGACAACAACTCATGGTAATGTACCTATCACACTACTGGCCATGAAAGACCAGGTACTCCTTATGCCTCCTCTGCCCTTCAAAGAGGCCCCAGAAACTCTCCCTACCTCTATACTGGATTCCTCCCCAGAGGTTCAACCACCTTACCTTCACACCTGCTGCAGAGGCACTTACAGTCATATCATATTCTGACCTGGTCCCAAACTCCACCAGAACCCAAGGGACCAACCTCCAAGGCTGCTGGCCAAGGTACTGTTTTCCCAGGAACTGTAACACTTGTAAATTCAGCCATTCACCAATTGATGGGCATCTTCTCAGTGTCTAATTCTTGTACCACCATAAAAAGAGCTGCTATGAATATTTTTGTACATGTGGGTCCTTTTCTCTCAAATACCTTTCTTGCTCAACTTGAAATGTACCCTAGCCATCATGGAGATGACCCTACCTTCTATAAGGATGCCCCAATGACACCCGCCAGACTCTTGGGCATCTTACACCAATCCTCTTCTACCTCCTGCAGGTCCATGCTTCCTGAGTGCTTCCAAATCCAGTCTGTGGTTACATGACTCTCCTCTTCCCATTCTCCTCCCCATACCACCTGCCTTCCCCCACCATTCCATCTCTGTCCCCATGCTGTCTGCCTCTGTACTCCCTAGGTCATTTATCTCTGTACTTTCTATACTCTTTGCATCTTATTGAAGTGTGATTGCTGCCAGTGTGGTCTTTCCTGGTGAGTATCCAAAGAACTGGGTATGCCTATCCCGATTCAACCCAAAGGGACCCCCCACCCCCACCCCTGTGGTCTCCTTCCCTGATTCCATAAATTATTAGCGATTCAATAATGAACCAAAGCATGTGAGGGCAGGGAGCCCACTTCCCCTTAATTAGAAGCAGGGTCCTCTTACCTATCCACTTAATCTTGTCCAAATAACATGCCTGGTTACAGGATAGGGAATGACTAGGTACTTCAATTCTTTGGGCCCAGCAACAGTTCCTCAATTCTAAAATATGCTTCATATATAATTTTATAGATGTATTTTAAAATCTCAATTGATGCTTTTTATTTTTACATTTCCAATTATATCTTTCCCTATCCCTGCCCAGAGAACTATCCCTTATAACAAGGATTAAAAAAGAGAGAGAGCAAAATATTGAAACATAACTGAGTCTGTCCCCTACCCCCTCACCCCAATCCTCATCTATTACATTCAATCAATCAAAAAGCAACTAGCATTTATTAAGCCTTTACTAAGTGCTGGTCATTGAGCTCAGGGCTGGGGCTATGAAGACAAAAGGGACATGGCACCTGCCCTGAAGGAGCTTACATTCTAATGAAAGAGACAACATATAGATATGTAAGTACGTATGGACTATATACAAAATGAATATGAGAGAGCTTGGAGAGGGGGCATCCTAGCAGTGGAAGAGACTAAAAGGCTTCATGAAGCAGGTGATACTTGAACTGAGTCTGTAAGGAAACTAGAGATTCCAGGGTATGTGTAGAGGGGGAGATGGGGGGGCAGTCAGTTCAAAGGCAAGGAGATAAAAAATGGAGTGTTATAAGTGCAGAAGGTCAAGTAGACCAGTGTGCTATGTGTGTAGAATATGGAGTAGGGCAGTATGGGTGGAGTGGTTGGAAGGGGAATAAAATCTGAAAAGACTGGGAGGGTCCAGGTCATCAAGAACTAAAATGCTAAACAGAAGAATACATATTTGATCTTTGAAGCAATAAAGAGCTCCTGGAATTTGTTGAGTAGGGGAGAGCCATGATCTGATCCGTGCTTTAGACCAATCATTTTTGCAGCTATGTGGAGAATAGATTGGAATGAGGTTATAGGCAGGAAGACCAAATAGGAAGGATTTTCAATAATCCAGAAGAGAATTGATGAGTACCTGAAGTAGGGTGATGGCTATACTATTAGAAAGGAGTGAATGAACTTTGATAGACTTAGTTCTTCTCAGCAATACAGTGATCTAAGACAATTCCAAAAGACTCATAATGGAAAATGCTATTTACATACAGAGAAAGAACTATGGAGTCTCTGATTGTAGATTGAAGCATACTATTTTCTCTTAAAAATTTTTTTCTTTCTTTCTTGTGGTTTTCCTTTTGTTCTGATTCTTCTTTCACAACATGAGTAGTGTAGAAATATGTTTAATAGGATTGTACATGTATAGGCTATATCAGATTGCTAGCCATCTTGGGGAGGGAGGAGTGGAGGAAGGGAGAAAAAAAATTGGAACTCAAAATCTTATAAAAGTGAAGGTTAAAAACTATCTTTAACTTGTTTGGTCTGATGCTGAGTGAAGTGAGCAGAACCAGGAGAATATCATACACAGTAACAGCCATGTTGTGTGATGACTAATATTGATACACTTAACCCTTCTCAACAATACAAGGATCTAAGATATCTCCAAAGGTCTCATGATGGAAAATGCTATCCACATGCAAAGAAAGAACTATGGAGTTTGAACACAGATTGAAGCAAACTATTTGCTATTTTTTTTTCTTTTGTTGTGTTTTGTTTCCTCTTTCTGGTGGTTCTTCCTATTGGCTCTAATTCTTCCTTACAACATTATTCACGTGAAAATATGTTTAATAGGAATGTATATGTATAGTCTATATCAAATTGTGCGACGTCTTGGGGAGGGAGGTGGGGAGGGAGGGGGAGAAAAATTTGAGGCTCAAAAGCTTATAGAAGTGATTGTTGATAATTCAAAATAAATTAATTATTAAAAAACTTTGTATGTAATTGGAAAAAATAAAATACTATTAAGTAAGGAAAAAAAAGAAAAGAGTGGATGTATACACAGGATGTGGACACAGAAAAGACAAGATTTGGTAACAGATTGACTATTTGGGACGAGGGAGCATGCAAAGATGACAGTGAGGTTGTAAACCTGGGTGACTGGAAGATGGTGGTGTCCTAGACAGTAATAGGGAAGGTTGAAAGAGTGTAGGGTTTGGGAAAAGAGAATGAGTTCAGTTGTGGACATGTTGAATTTGAGATTCCTTTGGAGCATCCAGTTTAAAATGTCCAAAAGCCAGTTAGGGAGATAGAAGTGGAGCTCAGGAGAGAGAAAGGACTGGATATATAGATCTTAGATTCATTCACTTAGAGATGATAACAACTCACAGGAACTAACTAAATAAATAAAACATCTTTACTTGAATATAAAGACCCATACAAAAATCACAATACATTTTTACAAGTGTAATTTTTCCTTTCAAAGAAATGTCATATTAAGGGGCATGGCCTGTATTTGGGAGTAACCTATATTCAAGTTAATATGATAAACCTACTGGACTTTTATAGGGGTATTTGTTCATTTTATAGGGTTTTTTTGTTTGTTTTTTTTGTAAATAACCATCATTACCAACACAAAAGGCATTTCTTAAGTATGAGATTACCCAGGAGTTATTCTAAATGTTGCACTGAATGGTGGGGACACAGTCCTCACCTGGTAAAGGATTGCAATCCATGACGAGTGACAAGCAGCATAGATAGTGGACAGAAAACATTCACCTGAGATGTGAATGAACAATAGGTGTGCCTGACATAGTTTAAAGGAACCATTGAAATCCCCTACAACTATATGAAATACAGGTCAAGGATAAGGTAATGGGAGGAATGGGTGCCAACAGCTAACGTATAACTTGTTCTTCTTAGTGTTACAAAGATTACTGAGAGTGGCTCAGTGATCACAGGCGCCTATGCTCCAAGCATCGCATCTTGGATTTTGGTCCCTCTGCCTCCGACGACTTGAACTTAACCAGGGCATCTTCCTGCTCTCTTACTAACTCCCTACTTATCTTTAGACATCAATTCCCTTAGCCATTTTTGTTCTGCACTTTCTAGGCTACAGATCATTCTCCTTGCTGGTGTATAAATTTTTTTGTTTTTGGCTTTTTTTTTTTTGGTAAGGCAATCAGGGTTAAATGATTGCCCAGGGTCACACAGCTAGTAAGTGTCACATGTGAGGCCAGATTTGAACTCAGGTCCTCCTGACTCCAAGGCCAGAGCTCTCTATCTACTGTGCCACCTAGCTGTCCCTGGTGTATGAATTTTGAAGGATTTTTTCTTCATCTTCGTGGCCTCTTGGAAGCATTCCATGCACTAGTGATAGACGATTCCAAAGGAGCAGATTCTATAACCCTTGTATTAGAAATGAGAGTGCCTATCATGCTATCTTCCTGGTGACAAAATTGGATAAAGGGACATTGGCTGTTGGTCGTGCGGGCTCTTCAGCTTTGTGATTTCTTGGGTCAAGAGACAAGCAAGGCAGAGCAGCAGTGAGGGCTGACTCTGGACCACGTGGGGAGAATACCATCTACAATATAGAGTCTGATGAGGACTATGAACTCTGAGCAATCCTTCCAAGAACCAATCCGGTGATCAGTGGAGAGGAGAGCTCTCTGGGATTTCATCGCTCCTGAGACAAGGGGTCAAAAGCCCTTCCCTGTCCCCACTCCTATAATTTTTTTTTCAGCCAAAGACAAGATTTATTAGAACATCAATGGCGGGTGGGTGAGATTTAAAGAATCCACCATATTGGCCAGACTCTTAAGGAATCTAAGCAATTGTATCACTAATAAAAGTGGGCCAGATCTTAAAAATATGAGCCCTTGGCTAGATTATAAGAATCTGAGCACCCCACTCCTATTCTTTATGAGCCTGGGATATACATACTTTAGTGACTTTCTCCAATCAAAATAGATCTGAAAAGACAGAGGGTATGAAAGGGTAACAAGATAGGTAACAAATCCTAGGTCTAAGGGAGGAAGGTGGATTCATAAATTTTCCTTTTCATTTTTCATATAGCAGATATTTGAATCAATGTGAGTATTTTTGTTGTTGTTCAGAGATTTTGAGTCTGACTCTTTATTACCCCATTTTGGGGTTTTCTTGGCAAATGCACTGGAGTGGTTTGCCATTTCCTTCCCCAGCTCATTTTACAGATGAGGAAACTGAGGCAGACAGGGTTAAGTGAATTGCCCAAGGTCACACAGTTAGTAAGTGTCCAAGGTTGGATCTGAACTCATAAAGATGAGTCTTCCTGATTCCAAGCCCAGTGCTACATCCTACGTCACCTAGCTGCCCTGTGAGTATAGGGAATGAAAACTGTAGGGGCCCAAGACAGATAATAGTAGTAATTTCCATAGTTTTGATATTATATTTTGTCTTCTATATCAAAATTCTGATATGGTAGCTTGCTCAAGAGGAGATACTTTTGAACCAAACTAGAAAATGAAATTAACACTACGGTAGGATAATGCATCAAGTTTTTGTGGGCTTTGAGCGCCCTCTAGCTTAGGAATAGATCACCCAGTTGAAAAGTTGACTTGTACCGTAGGTGTATCCTGGACAGGAGAGAAAAGCCACCTAGTGGTTTATTTAGATATTGTACTCAGAGTTACCTCAAATTTTTTGCCCGGATTTTTACTAACGTGACAGCCACTTCAGTCAAAAATCTGTCTCCCTCACCAAGTATGATGTCACAGCGGGGAAAAAAGAAGCAAAATCCACCCTGAATAACCACTCTATCTTTTCTCTGATAAATAATAAATAATAAAGTAAAAATAAAATCTAATAAAGCAAAAATAATTGTCTCATCTTTTGCTTTTCCCAAAGTAAAAAAGAATGTATTATGAACAATTGTGGGAGTTTCAACTTAAACTATTTGAGTAAGCCATCAATGCTTAAAAATGGGAAATAGAAAAGGACGTAGATATATATTCTTCCACACCATATCTTCTGTCTTCCTGCCCCCAAATTCCAGAGGGGTACATGGTGGGGCTCTCTGGAGGAATAGACCATCACCTTTATCAGCTGGACCATCTTTTGCCCCACCAACCTCACTAACAACTATTTTTGGATGAATTTCTAGATATGACTCAGTTGCTTATAGATATTAAGACCCTGCAGATGCTTATAGGTGATATTGTGCAGACCGCAACAACCTCCACAATATTAAAGAGCTTTCTTTTTCTTTTTTTGGCTAGGCAATGGGGTTAAGTGACTTGCCCAAGGTCACCCAGCCAGTATCATGTGTCTGAGGCAGGATTTGAACTCAGGTCCTCCTGAATCCAGGGCCGGTGCTCCATCCACTGCGCCACGTAGCTGCACCTTTAAAGTTCTTAATGTTCTCAAAAGAGAATGGCCTAATAATCTATACAGGAAAAACCAAATGGATATTCCTGGACTGTGACTTGGAGTTGGTTAGCCCAAAGAAAAATAAGCATCAGCAACAGCTACTTCATTAGTTATGGCAATGCTCTTAATGAAGAAAACTAAAGATGCATGTTTTCAAACACTCCATAACACCCCTGAGTGAGTACATCAGTATGTAGATCTGAAATTGGCCATGACAATGAAATGGACAATAAACTGTGTTTCAGAATTTTATAGCAAAGAAGAGAATGGGATAGATTGGTTTTGAACAAGGCACGATGCTTTTCATGATCTCAAGCTGTTCTCCAGCACAAGGCCCAACATTCTTCCTGAAGCACTGGATGGTTGTGAAGCTTGGAATGAAATATCCAGAGAATCAGAGTTATAGGTGAGTAAAAGGGTGATGGAGAGTATACACGGGGGTAGCTAGGTGGTGCAGTGGATAGAGCACTGGCCCTAAAGTCAGGAGGACCTGAGTTCAAATCCGGAATCAGACCAAACATTTAGCACTTACTAGCTGTGTGACCCTGGACAAGTCACTTAACCCTAATTGCCTAAAAAGAAAAAAGAAAAAAAAGTAAAAAAAAAAGGAGTATACATGGTAGATATCAATAGGCGGCAGCATGTTTCCAATGGTGACCTGCCTGCAAGAACTGGCCCCATTGTGGGAGCCCATTGAGGAAGTGGGATGGGCATATAGCAAGAGCCAAGGATAACAGCCGGTCAACCTGAATATTCCACTGGTACCAATGGAATATAAGAAGTACTAAAGGAACATCTCTAGTACGTTGATGGATGCTTTATGGAGGATCTGTGGTTGGTTGTTGGTGGCTGGCTCTTATCCTTTGTCCTCAGAGGATCAAAATGACATCATTATGTTGGAGCCAAGGTACAGCATGTCCAACTGGGGCTGATCAGACCAAGAAGAGCTTGGAAGCCCGAACCATGGGCTGGGCACAGATAGTCCACATGAACATTTGGAGCGGAGATGTCTCTGGATTTGCTTTTGAGATCCTGCAACTCGGTTTTGCTGGTAGAGCGCGGTGCCTTCTTTGGTGCTCCATGCTGAGTGGTCCTTTGCCAGAGTCTCCCATCTCGCACGATCAGTTCCAAAGTTCTTCAGAGAGATCTTGAGAGTGTCCTCGTATCGCTTTTTCTGACCTCCATGTGAGCATTTGCCTTGTGTGAGTTCTCTGTAAAATAGCCTTAGGCGAACGAATGTTTGGCAGCCCATCAGAGTCGCTTTCTCGGCAGTAAAGTTTGAATGCTTGGTAGTTCAGCTGGAGAAAGGACCTCAGTGCTCTGTACCTTATCTTGCCACATGATCATCATAATCTTTTTAAGACAAATTGAATGGAAGTGATTCAGTTTCCTGGCATGGCGTTGGCATACTGTGCAGGTTATACAAGCATACTGCAGTAAGGTCGGCACAATGGCTCTGTAGACCTTCAGTTTGGTAGACAATCTAATACATCTTCTCTCCTACGCTTTCCTTGAGAACCTCCCGAACACTGAGATAGCTCTGGCAATGCATGGTCGGCCTCATCATCTATGTGTACATCCCGGGAAAGTATGCTACCGAGGTAAGTGAGCTTATCCACAGCATTGAAAATTTCTCCACTTGCTGTCACCGATGGTTCCACATATGGATGGTGTGGTGCTGGCTGGTGTTAATTGTTAAACCAAAATCAGCATAAGTGGCACGGAATCAATCTAGATACTCTGCTGCATCTCGATTTCAGAGGCTGCATTGAGTGCATGGGGGAAAAGGACACAGGATGAGGACACACGCATGGGCTATGACCTGCACTGATGGAAGGAAGACTCTCAACACTAGAAGTAAGAAGACTTGGACAAAAGTGTCCTTTTGGGGGCAGCAAGGTGGAATCGTAGACAGGGAGCCCTTAATTTGGAGTCAGGAAGACCTGAGTGCAACTCCTGCATAAAAACACTTAGGAGTGGTGTGACCCTGGACAAGTCACATAACCTCTGTTTACCTCAGTTTCCTCATCTATAAAATGAGGATAATAACATCACCCCATACTTCTAATAATATCACCAAATTCCAATGGTATTGTGAGAATAAGGTAAGATAATATATGTAGAGCTCTTTGCAAACCTTAAAGGGGTACATCAATGTATTAAAAAGTGGTATGTTGTTATTAGAGTAGGGCATCAATAAGTATTATTATTATTTTTGTGTGTGTGAAGCAGTTGGGGTGAAGTGACCTGCCCAAGGTCACACAGCTAGTGTCAAGTGTCTGAGGCAGGATTTGAACTCAGGTCCCCCTGACTCCAAGGGGAGAGCTCTATCCACTGCACCACCTAACTGCCCCTAATAAGCATTATTTCTAATAGCATCAGCAGCAGCATCATCATCATCGGCATCATCATGCCTTTCCAAGCCTTCTTGGGATCTGCATTTTCTCTTGACCAGACCCAGGAATCTTGGCGTCCCCCAGTTCTAGAGGCTCACCGTAATTCACTGAGCCTGCTTTCTACCCAGTGTTTGGACAAAGGGGATCCTACTTCTTGACTGGCATGAGTTCCACCCCCCTCCCCAGGATATAATAATCATGACACTAAAACAATGATACCAACAACAGTATCGGCATTGAGGTGTGATGAACAGAGAGGTTGACCTCAGAGTCAAGAAGACCTGGGTTCAAATCCTGCCTCTGACACATCCTGGCTGTGTGGCCCTGGGCAAGTCACTTAACCTCTCACTGCTCTAGGCTACTGTCTAAGAAGATAGGTTGCAGATAACATGCTGACTGCATTGGTAGCCGGAGTTTCCTCTCCTGAGAGTTCACATTGCCACAGTTCACAAGCCTATCCCCTATCCCCATTATTAATTATTATATCTACAATAATAACTGAAATTTCTATGGTCCTTTAAGAACAACAAAGCATTATCCCCACAATAACACTGAGATAGATATGATTCCCATTTTATTTTATTTTTTTATTTTTAGGCAATTGCCCAGGGTCACACAGCTGGTAAGTGTCAAGTGTTTGGTCTGAAGCTGGATTTGAACTCAGGTCCTCCTGACTTCAGGGCTGGTGTTCTATTATTCCCATTTTACAGATGAGGAACTCAAGGCTCAAAGAGGGTAGTTGACTTGTTCACAGTCACACAGCTGGTAAGCATAGGAGCTAGTGCTTCAAACCAAGTCCAGTGCTCATTCTGCTATACCAGATTGCCCATCAACCAACCAATATGACTATTTATTGAGTCTCTCAGATATATCCAGCCAGGAAATGGAATCAGAGAGTAGACTATGGCTGGGAATACAAGGGTCCCAAAGGGATGCAGTGGGTACTAGTGCTGGAGGAGTAGGGGTGGGAGAATCTGAGAATGCGTATACATGGGACAAAGGCCAGAGGGGAAATTGCGGAGCACGGAGGGCAACTGTAACAGGTTTTCATTCATTAAGGCAGACCCATCCTCATTCTCTCCCAGCCACAGAGTTAACCTATATCTGCAGGGCCATTTTAGCAACGAATGGACTCAGAAAGGGAAGTTTATTGTTGGCAGGAAGAGGAACAGGAGACAGTACCACCACTCCTCCATATTCCAATCACCCCCTAGTTTATTCAAGCTCCCTCATGCTCTCAAGTCCTTCCAAGGTTCCCCCAAGTTTCATCAACTCTAGAATGGTGTCTGAAACCTGGGGTAGAGGAAGAGAGAGGACTTTCCTTTCTGTCCAGCTGTCTCTATGGCTCCTGGTTTCTTCCTCTGGCATCCACTGGCAGGTTTCATGTACTCCAGCTGTTTTTTTCTTTTTTTTTTTTTTGCCACTGGAGTGATATCCAGGATTGGACTGCCCTGGTTCCAGGGGATGGGGCAGGTGAAGCTGAGACTCTGAGAAGTAAAATCCCAGGACTTGACTCTGGCTGGAGAAACGTAGCAGCATGTTGACCTCTAGATGGGGCAATACCAGGATCGTGGGGTAACCAGTCCCCAGAAGGTCATCTGTGCCAGAGAAAGGAGAGTGTGAGCAAGGGCCCCTTCCATTAGGAAGGAGGTGTGGGGTGAATGGGTATGACCCAAAAGAACTTCTTCCACTCTGAAGTGAATTCAGGCTGGCAGTGGGGAGACAAAGACCCCTTCCCCAATATGAAATCCAGTCCTAAGTGTATGAGTTTAGGGAAAGGAGCTTCATTGACCAGGGAGCCAACGTATGTGGGTAGCGGTGAGGGTTAGGGGGAGTGAGGAGGTCAAGGCATCTAGGAGTAGGTGTGGGAAAAGTAAACTGGTGAGAAAGATGGCTTGTCATTCACCTAGAACAACAGGCTACATTTGGAACTATCTAAGGGCCTTGGCCTAGGAAGGGAAGTACGAAGGAAGGAACTAGGGAAGCGGTCCCTTACCGGGTAGAACGGGCATTGCTTCCGGCTGTACCACTCCTGACAGTACAGGCTGACCATTATTCCCTGGCCCAAGAAAAGCATAGTCCACATGACGACATTCCACACGGACTCAGTGTTCTGGTCACGCATCAGGAAGTGAAACATTACTAGAGAGAAGAGATTAGATGAGTCTGGGATTCCATTCCCCTCACCATTTCCCAGCCTGCTGGTACTCTTTCTCCCTTGCCTTTAATTTTTCTCCCAGGTATCCCACCTCCACCTTGGGAATTGCACTTCCCAAATCGCCCCCCTAATCATGTCTCTAACTCCTCAAGAAATATTCTCCCAGACATCCCTTCCAGGCACCTTCAAAACTCCTCCCCAGCCCAGAGGTATTGCTATGATATCCCTCAATGATTTCTGGGCACCATCTCCCCAAGCTGTTGAAAGACAGTGCTTGGGTTTCCCTAATGCCCCATGGAGCTTTTCCTTGTCTTCGGTCTTTGTCCAGGGGATAGCCTGCTAAGAGAGGTACCAGAGGGAGAGAACTCATCTCATTTCCCTTCTCTCTTCCCAATGCCGAGAAGTAAGGTTAAGGATTCTTATCCAAGATGTGTCTCATTTAGCATATACCAGCTAGGTGGCACAATGCCTAGAGTCAGAAAGACTCATCTGCCCGAGTTTGAATCTGGACTTGGATATTTACTAGCTGTGTGACCCTGGGCAAGTCACATGTTTGCCTCAATTTCCCCATCTGTAAAATGATTTGGAGAAGGAAATGGCTAACCACCGCAGTCTCTTTGCCAAGAAAACCCCCAAGGGGGTCACAAAGAGTTGGACATGACTGAACAACATCTCATTTAGTGTGAAGGATCCGTCCCACCTCAGCTCTAGATCCTGATAAAAGACATCTCCCATCTACTCCTCACCACCAGTTTAGAAACTAGTATTGGTATCAAATGGTTTATGTCAAATCTAAAATCTTTGGTTTGGGTGTCAAGGTCCCCTCCACTCATCTATCCTGTAAAGACAGCCCAACCTCATCTCATGCCTTTATCAATGGGATCTCTCCAGCTCAGACTTCCATACTCATTTGGGTAAATCTACCAGAACATCTGGGGCAGCTAGGTGATGCAGTGGACAGAGTGCTGGGCTTGGAGTTGGAAAGATTCATTTCCATGAGTTCAAATCTGTCCTCAGACACTTAGTAGCTGTGTGACCCTGGGCAAGTCACCTAACCCTGCCTGCTTCAGTTTTCTCATGTAAAATGAGCCGGAAAAGGAAATGGCAAACCATTCCAGTTTTCTTGCCAAGAAAACCCTATGTGGTCACAAAAAGTCAGACACAACTGAAAAATAACTGAATAACAAAAACCTGCATCTCTGATGCTGTACCACTCAGAAGCTGTCTGCCCCCCAGCACCGTCTCTCTCTGCCTTCCAAACACTGCTTCACGATTTCCTCCTCCAAGAAGCATAGTCTGATTCACCCTCGGTCTAACCGTCCATCCGTGCTACAGTGCCCTCCCAGGATTATTTCCTATGTCATCCTGACTTTTGTCTTGCTATTGGACTCCAGGGACTCTGAAGAAGAGAGGGAGGCTGATGATGTCATGCAATTCTGCTTCACTTAAATCCAATTCACTTGTACGTCAAGACATCACCCATGATGTCATTGCTCCTCTTTGAGAATGAAGGAGGCACAACTCCTCTGTGTGTGCACTAGGCTAGTAGATGGAATTTGGTTGATGGGGAGAAGTAGGGAGCTCCAGCAGCCTTACTTAGTCCCTTTTTGGTCTTGTCCCTAAGGTGATTTGCATGAACCAACGGCATGATGGGAAGCTCCACATCACAGGTCCATCCAGTTGTGGTTTGGGGGGAAAGTTTTGCTAAACTGAACTTCCAAAGTGATCTGTGAGGACTCAGACTGGCAACTTTAAAGCATGGTACAAGATAAAAATTTCTGATCATGATTCAAAGAAGAATAGAGAACATCCCTAGAATCTTGGGAGCCCCTTCTCTTCTGACCCTTCTCCTATCCTCTTCCTGCCTAATAAATAAAAAAGGGAAAGAAGTTTTGACCTGCCTAACCCACAGTAAGTCACAAGAAAAGCCAGCAAGTGGCAACAGTCAGCACCCACGGACACCAAGTGACCACACAGAGACAAATTAAAAACCATAGCAAAGTAAGTGACACGCTCCCTCTCATGCATCAATCAGATAATAATGACTTTTTTGGGGGGGCACTTCTGCACATTCCTTATACATATGCTAGCTCCACATGTGTTCCTGTCCATTCATGTTGGGGTACGATAACCTGTGGAAGAGAGTACCAGCCTTGGATTCAGTAGGATCTGAGTTAAAATATGCCCTCAGACATATAACACTTACTAGCTGTGTGACCCTGGGCAAGTCACTTAACCCCATTGCCTAGCCAAAAACAAAAACAAAATGGTAACTCATGGAAGGACATACCACTAGGAGTATGACTAGGGACTTGTCACCTACGTTGCTATAGTTTATAATTTGTCTTTTGTACCAGGTTGCTGGTGGCACAGTGAGTAGAGTGCTGGGCCTGGAGTCAGGGAAGCCTGAGTTCAAATCCAGCCTCAGATACTTCCTAATTGTGCGACCCTGGGCAAGTCAGTTAACCTTGGTTTGCCTCAATTTCCTCATCTTTAAAATGGGGATAAATAATAACGCCTACTTCTTAGGGTTGTTGGAAGGACCAAATGAGGTGATATTTATAAAAACACTTAGCATGGGGTCTGGCACGTAGCAGGTGCTATCTAAATGCATATTCCCTCCTCTTCCCCTTCTCTCTTTTTTTTTTTCAGGCTAGGCAATGGGGTTAAGTGACTTGCCCAGGGTCACACAGCTAGTAAGTGTTATGTGTCTGAGGCCGGAGTTGAACTCAGGACCTCCTGAATCCAGGGCCGGTGCTCTATCCACTGTGCCACCTAGCTGCCCCCCTCTTCCCCTTCTCTTCCCCTTCCCTCCTTTAAACTAATGTGTCCTCGGATTGCCTGGCAAAGAAATATGGAGGTGTGGGCTAGTGAGCTATTGGTTTTTGAATGTGTCATAGGACCATAGCTCTAGAGCTAGAAGGGACATTAGAGGTCATCTAGTCTAACATCCTACCCCCAATCATTGTTATAGATAAGGAAACAGAGGCCCAGAGAGGTGAAATAACATGCCTGAGTTTCCACAGATAGTAAGTGGCAGACCTAGTCCTTTGGCTCCAAGTTCCACCATTTTGTTATTACACTTTCCTGCCTCATACTATCGTTAGTGTGTGTGTGTGTGTGTGTGTGTGTGTGTGTGTGTGTGTGTGTAGGCAATTGGAGCTAAGCGACTTGCCCAGGGTCACACAGCTAGTAAGTGTCTGAGGCCAGATTTGAACTCAGGTCCTCCTGATTCCAGGGGCAGTGCTTTATCCACTGCACCATCTAGCTGCCCTGCCATGGTTCATTTTTTTTTTTTTGCCATGGTTCATTTTTAAGGGACCCATGTGTACAGTAATACAAGGGGGACGTCAGGTGCAAAGTTGAGAACTCTCTGAAGACTCCTCTCCCCTCTGGATCTCTGGTGTTCCTTCTACTGTGCACACTCTCCATAGTGATTCACCAGGGGCAAGGATTCCACACAGAAGATCAGAGTGACTCACTGGCCCTGGCTGTACATGACAGGGACTCTGCCTACCTCCAACAAGGAAGAGAATCAGAATAACCGGGTAGAAGAATCCCAGAACAAAGGAGAAGATGTATTCGTGGACCACAGCAGAGATCAGGAACGCACTGAGCATGGCTGGCCCTCTCGCCCTGAGACCCAGAAGCTGGAGGAGGGAGAGAGGGCAGAGGAGTGAGTTCCTCAAGCTGTATCCTAGCTGCTTCCTTTCCCCTGAGCCGTCTCCCCATGAGACCTCCCTAAGGAAGCCAAGAGGCAAAAAGTGATGGGGTCTGAAGGACTAGAGAAGAGAGGGGCATCGGACTCAATGAGAAGAACCTGGTCTCCTGATGTTGATTAGTGATGTGGTCTTAAACAATTCATTTTTCTCTTGGGCCTCAGTTTCCTCACCTTGACAATCAAGAGATAGGACTAACGCTAGGGTCCATGAACGCTCAAAAAAAAATTTGGTAGCTATTTAAATAGAATGGATTTCTTCTGTAATCCCATATATTTTATTTTCTGCATTTAAAAACATTATATGACATATTTATAACAGGTTTTGTTTTTCTTGCCTTCCCATTAGATGGGAGATGGGATGGGGTGAGGGAGAGAATTTGGAACTGAAAAAAAAGAATAAAAAACCTCTGTGCTTAAAAAATAAATTTGAAAAAATATGCTATGAGAAAGGGGTCCGTTGGCTTCCCCAGCCTGCCAAAAAGGTCCATGGCGTGAAAAAAAGGGTTAAGAACTCCTGCACTAGATGATGTCTAATTTTCTACGGTCTCGGGTCCTTTCCAATTCCTTGTAAGAGAAGAAATAGTACAAGTAAAGGACAGGAGGCATATAGGGTATAGGGGTGGGTGGCCAGTGGACTAGGAACATAACCAGCCCTTGTGTAGGGAACTGGGGGAGGGGAGCACAAGGTCCAGTTCTGCCTCAGTTTTCTCATCTATAAAATGAAAGTTGTTTAAAAAAAAATGGTTACACTAGATGGTTTTTAAGGGCCCTTCCAGCTCTTACCTTTTATGAGTCAGTTCTAAAACTGAGTGAGGGATGATAGGTTAGGGAGAGGTGAGCTGAAGAATAAGATGTTGGATAAATAACAGCAAAGGGAAAAAGAAGTTAGAAAGCTCCAGGGACTTCCCAATAACTGAGTTGGAGGAGAGGAGTAAGTTGGGAAAAGGCTAGGAGGAAGTTCTAGGATTCTAGCCCTAGCCCTAAAGCTGAAAGGGACCTCAGAAGCTGTCCAGTGCAACCCCCTCATTTTACAGATGCAGTCTATGGGGTCTAGGAAGAGTAAGTGACTTAAGTTAAGAAGGCCAATCTCATTTCCTGGATCCTTGCAGGGAAACCTTCTTGGCTAGGGACATGGAGAGATCCCTCAGAAGGTCTGAGAGTTCTGGGGAGTTCTGGGAACAGGTGGTCTTGGGGCTCCCCTTTACCTGAATTCCATCCTGGTAGATGTAGCTGTAGAGCCAGTCATGGACCACCACATTCCAGGTACGAAAGAAGTTAGAAAAGGAGGTTGAGTTCCACCAGTCCTGAGGACAGAAGGGCAGCATCAGGGGTGAGGCTGCTCAGTACTCATCAGAATGCTCTCTGACTCTGCCTTAATGCTCCCCAGCTGCAGCATGGACTACATGGATTCTCCAGGTCCCAGAATTCCCCCTTCCCTTCCCTTCACCCACCTCCATCCCTGTGCTCCCTAGAAGGCTGTGAAATAGGCAAAATCTCACCATTTTCTGGAAGATGCTATCTGAAGAAACTGAGTACCCTCCTGCATTCCTAGTAACCTATCCAAATTTGCTCTTAGAAAGGGATCTGACATTGCAACATACTATTTTTCACTTTTTTGTGTTTTTTTATGTTTTTTTTTCTTCTTTGGGTCTGTGTTTTCTTTCACAACATGACTAATATGGTAACATGTTTTGCATGATTGAACATGTATAACCTATAACAAATTGCTTACTGTCTCAGGGAAGGGGAAGATGAGAGAAAGAGAAAGAAAATTTGGAACCTAAAATTTTTTAAAAAGTGAATATTAAAAACTGTTTTTAACTCATGATGGAAAATGCTATACACATCCAGAGTCTGAATGCAGATCAAAGCATACTAGTTTCTCTCGTTTTTTTTTTCCTTTCTCATAGTTTTTCCCTTTTGTTCTGATTCTTCTTTCACAACATGAGTAATGTGGAAATACATTTAATATGATTGTACATGTATAGCCTATATCAGATTGTTGGCCATCTTCGGAGAGGGGAGGGAGGGGGAAAATTTAGGATTCAAAATCTTATAAAAGTGAACGTTGAAAAGTAAAAATAAATAAATAAATAATTTGAAAATTTTTGTCTTTACATGTAACTTGGGAAAATTTTTATTATTATTTTAAAAAAGATCTGATAAAGTAATTTACACTATGGTGTCAATGATTGATAAAGTCTGATAACAGTTTGCCTCTCACTGTGAGATTTTACACTTTTAATTAGGGCAGTCTTTCTGACTCCAGGCCTGGCACTCTATGCACTGGATACAGAGTTTGCGGCCTGGAAGTCAGGAAGACTCACCTTCCTGAGTTCAAATCCAGCCTCAGACATTTACTAGCTGTGTGACCCTGGGCAAGGTCACACAAAGACCTTTTTTGCCTCAGTTTCCTCATCTATAAAATGAGCTGGAGAAGGAAATGGCAAACCACTCCAGTATCTCTGCCAAGAAGAACCCAGTTGGGTTCACAAAGTCGGACACAACTGAGCAAAAACAACAATTAGGGAGAAAGTCTTATTATAGTGAGAGAATGAATATCTTTTTTTTTCTTTCTCATATTGATTTGTATATGTGTCAGAAATTCCTGGATGTAGTAGGGCTGCCTGGAAAGCTAAGAAGTTAAGAGCCTATCATAAAGCCGGGGTGTGTCAGAGACAAGCCTTGAACTTGGGGCTTTCTGACTCATGAAATTTATCCAAACAGCTCAGCAATACTCCCAGTAGGAGCAAAAAGCATTACCAAGGAGAGAGGTATCTTTTGGGAAAGAGGAACATTCCCAGTTCCTGAAATCATACCTCTGGGCAACCCCCTACTTCATCTACTGGTAAAGTTTTCTCCTTTCCTTCCACTTCTATTTCCCTCTCCCCTTCTTCCTACCTACCCTGTAGAACATTCGGTCTGCAAACTGTAGCATCTCAGCAAAGGCATTGAGCCAGCAATGGAGAAAGGCAAAGAATATGAGCAGCAGCATGAAGATACCTGGGGGTGATGCATGAGGTCAGATCAGACTCCTCCTCCCTTCTCTCTGGGCCATTCCATCTTCTGAGGTCAGGCCTTGTTCCACCCAGAGACCCCCTCTGCCTTTAGGCTTCTGCTCCTTCCATTTTTGTGGATGCTTTTTCCTTCAGTAACTCATGCCCAATGTTATCTCCCTAGTTTTTTTGGGGGGTGGGGTGTGAGGCAATCAGGATTAAGTGACTTACCCAGGGTCAAACAGCTAGTAAGTTTCAAATGTCTGAGGCCGGATTTGAACTCAGGTCCTCCTGACTCCAAGACCAGAGCTCTATCTACTGCACCACCTAGCTGCCCCTTATCTTCTTAGTTTTAAGAACTGCTTGCTGGCTTCTCACATCCTCCCCCTCCACTCCAGCCAGAGTCTTCCCACTAGGGCAAGTGGAGGATCCTGCATCCCGCATCCTGTTCTGCTTCCACGGTCTCTAGGATGGACCCACCAGGTAGTGTGGCATGCAGGACGGAGAGCACCAGGGCTCGGGTGCTGAAGGGCTCACGGCTCATGTTGTCAAAGATGGGCACACAGAGACGGCCAAGGATGAAACAGGCATAGAACACGCATGCCAGGACCTAGGGAGAGGATGGAAGCACGGGAGACCATCAGCAGCTACACTGAGTGTCCACTCATCCTGAATATCTATCTCACTTAGACCCCCAGCTTCTGAATCTTTCTCCCTGAACCCCCACTTTTTCTCTGCCCAAAGATTTCATCAGGCCTTTTTTTCCCACCCAATTCTCTAATACTTCCTCTTCCCCCCAACAACAGGTTACTTTCCTCCCCCCATCTCCATCACTTCCCATTCTCTGACCTGGGCAAATTTCTTGGCCACATAATTCCACCTGATATGGGTTGTCCTGGAACAGTAATTGGGAGGAGTGTCACAGACTCCTCAAGAAGTCTTACTTTTGAACCTCTGGAATCCCCTCTCCCTCAATTGCTCAATTATGGGGGGGGTACCTGAGGGATTGGGATCTGGGACATCTGGTGCCTTCAGGTAGAAGGAGGGATCCAGGGCTTTGGGGTAGGGTCAAAGATCCCAAGGAGAAAGGGAGATCAGAAAGATGGGGCTTTAGGTGGGACTGGGCACTCAGGGTAGGGCAGAAAACTCACCTGGGGTAACTCTCTCTGTATATGAGTGTGGGGCAGAAGAGGAAGTAGAGGTAGCTGGAGAAACTGGGAACTCGGGCTCCCTTACCTGTAGTGGTGATGGAGACAGAGGCAAAGTGAAGAAGAAGGAAGGGTTTAGGTTGGGGGAGCAAGAGGGTGCTGGAGACTAATGGATTAATAAGGGGAGAGGTGGAGAAAGACCAGACTCTGACTGGAGATCCAGTAGGAGTGGAGTAAGGGGATTAAGACTGGGAGACAGAGGACTCAAGGAATGAGAGGAGGACCTAGAGGAAGAATGTAAGCTATAATGTCTGTTCCAAGCCAAGCAGTAGCAGGCAATCTTACTTTTCATGACCTCTTTGTATCTCCCTCCCCTCCCTGAGGGGGGGGCACTTTATCTTCTGAGGGCAGGTCCTATCCCACTCAGGGCACCCTCCTGTCTTCAGGCTTCCTAGCCTTCTTCCTTTTACAGGAAAGCTGCCCCATTTATCACCTCATGTCCAAAGGTATCTCCCTAACAATTCCGACTGTGTCATTTTTTCACAGGGGCCTTCTGGAGGCAATGCCACCACCTTTATCGTTTATCACAGGGGAAAGAATGATGCTGGTAATTCTAAGTCAAGGTGGAGGTGGAGGCAGTACCTAACGAGGGAGCCGAGTTTAAGCTGATGTACCAGAGACCATTGTCTGGGTCTGGTCTGCCTTCTTTGCCTATGCAGAAGTGATTGTGGTAAGGAATGAAAAGGATGGGCTGGGAAATAGGGGGTGTGGGGACAGAAGAACTGATACACCTATCAGAGGATTCACCTCCTTCGGCATGGAAGATTCCAGGTGTGGCTTCCCTCAAGAAGGAGTAACTTTTCATCACCAACCGGATCTGGGTAGGAGTTGGGAGAGAATCATAATATATTAAAACTGGAGAGGGATGTTAGCACTTGAAGTCAACAGATATTTACTAAACACCTAATGTGTGCAAGGCCCTGTGCTAGGTATAAGGGATGTAAATCTGGGAGAATAAGGGCAATGCATGCATAGTGCTTTCCTGTTTATAGCCATGACAACAATGCTGTGAAGTAGGTAGTAAGAATATTGTTCCCATTTTGCAGATGAGGAAACTGAGGCTGAGAGAAGGGAAAGGAACTGTCTAAAGTCACAAAAAGAATGAGTGGTTTAACCAAAACTGGAACACAGGTTTTATGATGCCCAGCTGAGTGCTTCCTGCAAAGGCGGGAAGGTTGGCTGGGGAGTAGCACTGTCTGGTATTAAATGTCAGTGTCAAAACCTCCTTACGTGCAAGTTTTAGAGTTGAAGTAACCCTTAGATTTCATGGCTGGAAAGAACATTGGAGGCGTCTAGTCCAATCCACTCAAGGGAGAAGTGACTTGCTCTGTGCTAGGTCATGCAGGTGGTAAGTGTTGGAGACAGGGTTTAAATCTTGACCTTTTAGTCTTCCTAACGCATCTCATACTGGGTCCACCTCTCTTTAGAGGCAGCCTTTGGTGTAATAGCCCAGAGTCAGGAAGACCTGAGTTCAAATCGGGCCTCAGACACGTGCTAGCTGTGTGACCCTGGGCAAGTCACTTAACTTATTAGCCTCAGTTTCCTCAACTGTAAAATGAGGATATTCATAGCACCTACCTCATACGGATGTTGTGAGGATCAAATGAGATCATATTTGAAATTAGGGCAGCACTTAGCATATAGTAGGTACTTTCTATAAATTCTTATTCTCTTTTCCTTCCCTACGTGCATGGGCACCATTTTTATGCACTTATCTACCAGTCTCCAGCCACAGCCTCTTAATCAATTTTCCTGCTTCAAATTATTCTTCTCTGTGGTCCTTCCTCCTTATAGAGGCCAAAGTAATTTTCCCTATGGTTCAACCTGACCATGGTGCCTCTACAATCTAACATAAGCTTCTCTTTCTGGCTTTTCTCATAGCCCCCACAACCCTGTCTCAATCTTCCTTTCCAATCTATTTAAAACATTACTCTTCTTCCTGCACTCTGGAACCTGGCTTTTCTGCTGTTCTTCACAAAGGGCACTCCATCACCATCTCGGGCTCTTTGTACTGGCTGTTCTCCTTGACTGGAAAGCACTCCCACCACACCTTGGTCTCTCAGAGACTCCTTGTTTTTTTCCATGTGAAATCTTTTCTGGTCCTCACAGACACTGCTGCCGTGTTCCCCCAAAACTAATCTTGATTCATTTGATGTGTACCTATTGATATACATATTTCCACCCTTCCCCTTCACCCCATGTAAGCTCCTTGAGGAAAGGGACTGTTTGGCTCTGGCACCTAGAACAGTGCCTAGACCACAGCAGTCACTTAATAAATAATGATTGATTAATAGAATGATTTAAACCCAGATCCCCTGATACTAAATACAAGGTGCTCTCCACTTCACCACACCATTTTAGGCTCATTCTGTGCCTCATAGTACTTAAAACACTCAATGATCCTGGGGGAGGACAGAGGCTGAAGATGGTAGAGTGTAGCAGGTCAGAGCTGGGTTCTCCGTAGTCCTACCTGATCATTCAGTAGGCAGCCTCCAGTGTCCCTGGACTGGTTGGGCCACCTCTGAATTGATTTCTTTGGAAGAGACTTCAGTCTGACCGCACTTTCATTAGTCTTCCTCTTCTTTCTCAAGGTTGGCCCCATCCCTTGTAGACTTAACTGTCCCTATGGAACCTTACCCACTCATCCGAGTTTCCCCTCCTCTACCTCCTTATGCTCCAGGTTCCGCCCCTACCTGCTCAAAGACTAGAACACAGCGGGAGCCAGGAGACAGCTGGTACTGCAGGGCCACGTAGATTGGGAGGACACCCAACGCCGCCAGTTGGATGGCTAGAAGGCCTGCCCCCAGCCCCGCCCCTGCATACCAGGCCCCCCGGCCTCCGGGTCTAGCCCATAGCCAAAGAGCCTGGTATGGGGCTAGGACTGTGCACAGGAACATGGGCAGCCAGGTCATCAGGGCCAGGGGCAGCTGTCCGAAGCTGAAGGCCAGGAGGTCAAACTGTAGCACGAGCCTTGCGGTAGAAAGAGGAGATACAGGGAGGGTACACGCTAGTCATCTCTCATCCTTGATTTCCTCCTTTCCATATTGCCCGGATGGGACCTGAACCCCAGGGTAGCCCTTCGACTTGCCCCATCATTCTGATCCAACCTGGACTACATGAAATACTGTGTTTCGTAGCCCTGCGCTCCCCCCTTAGTGCCATTAATTATTTCTGATTTATCTTGTACATAGCTTGTTTGCACATAGTTCTTTGTATGCTGTCACCCCCGTTATATTGTAAACTCCTTGAGGGAAGGGACTGCCTTTTGACTTTCTTTTTATCTCTACCACTTAGCACAGTGGCTGGCACAAATGCCAATGGATGGATGACTTAGGCAGGGTCTCTTGGGGGAGGTGGAATTTCCCCAAGGACACTTTGGAAATGATCTATACAGACGGCATGGGTATTTTTTATCCTCTCCCTGACACCCCCTGGTCTAGATATTAGTTCCTAATGACACCAAATATACAGGCTTTTAGGCCTACTGTTTTCCTTATATTGACTCTTTAGTGAAAATATTATTCTACCCATTTGGGAAATTACATGTAGAAAAGTGACGTCACACAGCTAGTAAGTGTCTGAACTGGAATTTCAACCCAGACCTCCTGACTTCAGCCATATTCCCCAAGGTTTTGGGTTCTCACCTACCCATCTCCTCAACCTAATTAGCTTTTGTGTTCTCTCTCTCCAGGGATAACACACAGAAAACTTGAAAACAGAATGGAACATGTCTGGGCGAGGGAGCTGCCTAAAGAAGGGTTAAGATGATTGGTGTTGGAGGTGTGTGTGTGGGGAGGGCTGTTACCATGGAATAGATTGTGGTACCCAGAACACCCATACCTTCCTTCATCAATGACATCTATGGCCAGGGTGCTGATGACGAAGACACATAGTCCCGCAATGAAAATGTGATAAATGGTTCGCAAATGCTTAATTTCCATCAATTCGCTGGAAGGACCAGAGTTGGGTGAGGTTAAGAAGTTCAGTCATTGGTTTCTCCAAACCCTTTTCTGATTCACTCATATCTCATCTTGCTATCCCCTTCCTCTCCTGGGGGATATATGGGAAAACTAAGACTTAGAGCATCTTCCCTGGTCCACCCAAGTCTGGAGGTCGGGATTCCTGGTTCCCATCTGCACTCATCCCTTCCCCTGTCCCTAACTATTGCCTTTACCCTGACTCACTCGAGTAACGACTTGCGATGGATGAAAACTTTCCGTCTTTCCAGATTTGGTTCCTGGGCTCTGAATGGAGAGGGAGGACAGAGAAATTCTAGAGAATAAGGGCAGCACCAGGGGACAGAAGTAAGAAAACTCAGGAGACATTCATTGCCAAGTTGGGGGAAAGGGCTAGTGGGGAGATGTTTAATGTTCCAGAATGGAGGGGCTCCTGCTGCCCACCTTCCGGTCTTTACCTTTTTGGGGATTCCTGGAAGGCTGAGCCTGGGCGGCAGCCTTGACTTGGGTAGGACTGCACAGCTTCCCAAATGGCCCGATCAAACAGCTTAGTCAGCTGCTGGTGCGCTTGCTCCAGCAACTCTGCCTTCACAGCCTGAGGGGCTTATAACCAGAGTAAGCAGACCACCCCGAGATTCCTTCATTTCCTAGTCTTGCACCTTCATTGACTTCTGATTCCTTATAGCCTGATTCTGGACCTCCACCCTTGCCCCCTTCCCCCGTCTTGACCCTGTGATCCAAACTACAGGGTTACTTAACCCCACCTCCTTACCGACCTCTGACCCACGACTGATTTTTAATGCTAAGACAAGACATTCACGTCTAACCCAGTCTTCATCATTTCCCTCTGACCTCAGGATCTGTCCAGCTGGACCTCTGACTGTGGGACCTTATCTCTGACCTCTAACACAGTCCCAACTCCAGCCCACTTACCTCCATATGCCTCATCAATTGCACCAGGTCAGGAATTTCACATTCTTTGGCACTTTCTAGGAGAGAGAGGGCCATTGGCCACATCCAAGAGGTAGGAAGTATCTGGGCTGTATTGTCTTTGACCTTAGGGAGGCCTCAGCCACCTACACTGAGACCTTTTAGAATACTGATCCTAATGTCTCTTGCCCTCTCTCTCACTCTGCCACTCCTTCCCCTGCCCCACCCCCTGCAACTTCCCTTCCATAAGGAGTTCGAGGCCAGTGACAAAGATGGGATCAGACTAATTAGGCAAAGATTACAATATTAGATATTTCTCTTCTCTCAGGCAGACAAGGTCTGAAATGATAGATTCCATCTAGAACCTCCTGATCTTCCAGTGTAGGGAAAAGGACTGAGGTGACCTAAGGCCTTTTCAACAATACATTGCCCACTCCTTCCCTGTCCTCCCTCCCTCCTGTCTCTCACCTCTGCCTGCCTCCATTCCCTGTCCCTGACAGGTTTTCCTGTACTCTCAGGAGACTCACCATTGAGGGGGCAGTTGTTTGCTTGCTTCTCTCCCCGCCCCTCTCTCCTCCGAGGCTGGGTCCCAGTTGGCTCCATGATGTATGTGAGCAGATAACTGGCTCCTCTCACAGTACCTGCCCCAGTCAGTGCCAGTGCACTGTGTGACTAGTGTGGACTAAAGTCCTCTTTGGAGGAAAAGGACTGCGAGGCTATTGATAAGGTTATCTTATGAGGATTAGGGTTCCTAAGAATGAACTTTGCACCTGTCAGAGGGATCTAGGAGTACACCTCCCCACCTCCATTTCAGCTTCCTGTCTCCTCCAATTCATTCCGCCCCTCTATAGGTCATTCACTGATAATGAGCGCTGTGTTAGCTGCACAGGGCTTTGCCTATCTCGAACCTTTATCAATCTGATATCTCTCAGCTGCCTCCCACACAGAATTCTAAAGGTCAAGAAAAAATGGGGAGTCAGTTTGTGTTATCAGGAGGCTAACGACTATCTCCTTGCTGACTCATGACATCCTAGAGGTACCAACTCCCCCCTCAGTTCTGTGGCACTAGAATCACTGAAGATGATACCAATATTTGGATAATCTCTAGGGAAGAAATTATTCCCCACTCCCACCCACTCACCTTTCTTTTTAAGTACTTGCTAGGGTCTCTCAGGGTTCAGGTCCCACTTTCCCTGAGATACACCTGGAGGAATGACTTCATTTTTATTATGTTTCTTCCGGAGTCGGAGGCAGGGGAGGTGGTTCCCGAGATTAACTATTAACCTTTTTCTTTTCCCATGGTGTTCAGAGATCAGCGTCAGGGACAAAGTTCCAAAGCAGGACACAGAACGACAGAAAGCAGGCATTATTCTTCCCTCTGTCCCCATCTCTCTCTGTACTGTGGATGGGAGATATGGTTGGTTTGGAACTTCATCAACCAAAGGACTTCCAAATATCTCAAGAAGGATGGAGATTAGGCAACAGGAAGGGTCTAATGACTGGCTTGGGGATGGGGTAGTAAGAAATTGGAGAGTGAGCTGGAATGAAGATAGAATAAGTCGGGGGGGGGAGGCGGCAGGTATGTGTGTGAGGAGAAAGAGGGGCAGGGGAAGGAAGTAATCACACATAGACACCAAGACCCCAACTCAGCTTTATTAACAACCCAATTCAACACCAACAGCCTTCCCAACTATCACATAGTTGAATCACTGACACACACAGCCCAGCTTGAGGAAGGACCAGGGGGAGATGGAGATGCTGGGGGAAGGGGAGGGGGAAGCCAGGGCTCTTCTACCTTGAGTTCTTCGTCACTCAATAAATAGCCCACGATGGCACCCCTCCAGACCAGCTCCATCAGTGGCCCTAGCTCTTCTTCCCTGCCTCTGCCTCAACCACTGGGGTCAGAAAGACAGAGGGAATTTGCATCCGATTCAGTGGGGCCAGTCAGGGGTTGTCCCATTCGTGTTACACACCAACACGGTCCTCTGCGCAGCCCTTGAGATGACCGACACTGGATAGAGACACAGAGATGGAAGTGAATGGGTCTCACGTCCAAGCTGGTAGGAGCTGATTGTCAACAAGTCAAAGGGGGCGGAGGTGGGTTTGTTAAGGAGATGCGAGACTCCTGGCTCCTGGCACGGGGCAGATCTGTGAATGGGTATCTATATCTGAGATGCCCTCAGATTCCTAGCCTTGACCCACCCATGCATGCCCTCTGTTCTTCCAACTCTTGCCTTACAGTCTTCTCACTATCCAAATTCTGCCTGTCCTTTGGGACCTAGCTCAAATCCCCTGATCATTCTGATCCCCTCAATGACAGTTCCCTCCTTCCTACTGTTAACGCTTTCACTAGTCACTGGTAATTAATCAATACTGCCTTACATTGTTAGTTCTCTTTTCATTCCCTATACATCCTACACACACATATGTACATATATATGTATATTTACAGACACATATATGTGAATGTGTGTGTGTGTATGTGTGTAAATCTCCTATCTTCCCAACTAATTGATAAGCTCCTTAGGAGCAGCAAAAGCAGAACAAAGCCTTGTTCTTTTATCATATGCCCCCGGAGCACTTCATGCCATACCTTACATGAAAAGTAATAGGAACTCAATAGATGTCTATGGGCTAATTGAAGGATGTAGGGAAGGGGATGAAAGTGTGCTCTCACCTGCCGCTTCCTGTAGAAGCCTTTATGGTCACAGTTGGGCACATAAAGAGTCCGGGCCCCACGGTAGACCTCAGCCTGGAGCTGCTGTAACACCGTTTCTAGGTGTCGGCGGCATGGACCCTGGGGGAACATGGCCAGTGTGATTGGGGGGGGGGACAAGAGGATTCTTAGAACCAGAGGTCATATCCCCTCTCCTCCCTGACACCCCTGGGTAGGGTGGTGGCTGCAGGCTTGGCTGCCCTCCCTCCCTTCTGTCATGTGTCACTCTGGCATGGATAGGGGCTCATTCCTTACCAATGAAGAAAGAATTAGCCAAGCAAGCCTCTGAAAGGGGGCTTACCTCCACCCTTGAAGTTTATTACATTATGGGTTAAGAGGCTGGACCCTTCAGAGCTGAGAGATGACCCCTGGAGCCCTCCCCTAAGAGGCAGATTCAGAGGTGCTTATTCCCAAGGTCTTTCTTTCTATGTTTCTTTCCATCATTACTTTCCCCCACCCTTTCCCCCCCGGTGAGCATTGTCATCAACCCACCCCACCCCTTGTGATCCCCCTTGCCCACCATCTCACTGTCTTGTCCACCCCCAGGACTGGGTCGGGAAGGAGTGGAGGGGGTGCCCAAGTTCTTCTCTCGACCTCCACGGTTCACATCCTGCTGTTGGGGGCCCCCTGGGCTGGGCTTCGTTCCCTTAGGACTCTCCGCTGTGGACAAACATGGTGGAGGGTGAGGAGAGGAGATCTATAATCAGGATGGGAGGTGGGAGGAGGGTCTTCCTCCCAGACTTGGAAAAGAGATGGAGACCCCTCTTCCTCAGCTCCCTCCTAAGCGGGAAGAAGAGAAAGGCTTTGGGTTGAGCTGGGGAGAACTCAAGTTTTGGAGCCAGAGATGCCAGGTCCTAATACCTCTCTGCGTTTTAATTTCTTCATTTGTCGTATGGTGCTTAACACCATTGGCCTTAACTACTTTATGAGGCTGCAGTGAGGGGGAAATAGATGTGAACCAATTTTGAAAAATGTAAAGAGCTATGAAGTGTGAGATTGTTATTATTTTTGTTATGTCTGACTTAATCAGGAGCTTCCCCTACTCCAACTAATTTCTTAATGGACATTCCACAAATGGCCAGAAGGGGGAGTCCCAAGCCCAGGAACTGATGGGATGCAGCAGGGCGGGAGGGGATAGAGAGGAGGGGGTCAGCAGGGACAGAAAAGGAATGTGTGTCCCCTGCCTGACCCTGCTTGTGACTCACCCCTACTCCTCCCGGTGCCTGAGGTTTGGTTACTCTCAGAGAAATCCAGCAGGGGATGGGGGAGGGGTCCCTGCTGGATCTCTTTCTGGTCCCTTAGCCAGGTCCTGAGAAGGAAGAAGGGTGCGGTAGTTCTAGGATGGGTAGAGTGGAGACCATTAGGAAGGAGTGCAGGGAGTACCTTTTGATCCGTAGACTTGTTTCTCTCCATTGGGAAGGATCTAGGCAAGGGAGTTGGTGGGAAGGGATTGGGGGATGGGGGACAGGATACTCAAGATGGTGGGGGGCAGCACTGGACAAAGTAAAAGGGTACTGTGTACTTCTTGGAACTTGTCCCAGGTAAAAGAATAATTATCAGTTATATCTCCTCATTAGCTCTAAAAGGTCTATGTCCCTCTTGCCCCAAAGACAAAATCTATTTCTCTTCTCTGACCTCTTCTCCGTCTCTCTGTGGCCAATGAGAAAGTCTCTTGTGTAACATCATCTTTTTTCTACTTCCATCGGCTTTCATCCGTAAATCTTTCTTTGTAAACCCCAAAGCTCTCGAACCTTATAACGTTAGTGTTTGGCAAACCAGCAGCTTCTTCTACCTCCTTGGTATCCAAATATACCAATAACGATTAACCTCAATCCAAGTCATGCAGTCAGTTCTGGATTGAACCTGAACATCCCAGACCTAACCAGTTTGTATCATGAAGTAATTGCAAGCTTTGTCCTAACACCCACTATAAACTCATATGTATTTGGGGTAAGGTGAGGGTTTCTTATCTTCTTCACCACTTTCTAGTCCCTCCAGTTTTCTTGGGTTGACGCAATCCCCTGACAACTTGGTGATACCCCTGCCCATATCCTTTCCTTTTCTTCTATCCCTTTCCCTTTGATGTCCGTCCAGTCTCTACCCCTAATGCCCCTTCAAGTTCTGACTCAATTCTGCCCTCTCCATAACCTGATGGCCCCTACCTTTCCCGTCTTCTCAAACTTCACTTTTTTACTTTGATCCTGACACTGACTTCCTTTGCTGTTCCTTAAACAAGATATTCCATGTTCTGGCGCTGGGCATTTCCACTGACACCGCCCCAGGCCTGGAATTCTGTCCCTCTTCACTTCTACCTCCTGACTTCCTTAGCTTTCTTTAAATCTTGGTTAAAATCTCCCCTTCTCCAAGAAGCCTTCCTGATCCCCCTTAATGCCAGTGCCTTCCCTCTGTTGATTATCTCCTATTTATCTTGTTTATATCTTGTTTGTACTGTTTGCATGTGGTTGCCCCGGGTAAACCATGCCTTTTCTTTGTATCCACAATACCTAGCACAGTGCCCGGAGTCTGGTAAGCATTTAAAAAAGCTTGTAGACTGACTGACCTTCTCTATTCAATGCAATATTAGGTAGGGTTAACAGGATCGGGGAAACCTGCAAGCTGAGTTTACTCTCCATGCCATTTCCAAGTGTGCTTCCCTGGAAATAGAGGGACTGCTGTCCTGATTTTTCTTTTCTTCCAGACCAAGGGTGACTGATTGCACAGGGAATAGGGGAAGAAGAACATTTATGAATATAGTGGCTATTTTTTGTGTTCCTAGCTCTTTCCTCTCCATCCCAGAGATGTGGAAAGTGGGAGGCAGGAATTTCAGTCCATTCCCTGGTTCCTGAGTCTTGAGCAACAAGAGCTGGACATATTGGGCTGGGATATTGTAGTTAGACTCCCAAATCTACCTGCCACCCCAATTTCCCAGTGAAACAAAAGGAAAGGAATAAAAGGGCTTGTGAACCTAAAGAGCCACGGTGAACTAGTGGATAAAGAGTGTTGGAGTTCAGTCATGGAAGACTTGGGTTCAGGTTCCTTTTCTTGCACTTACTGGCCATCTGACTAGGCAAGTCACAACTATTTTTTTGGGGGGGGGTCTCTGGCAACATCCTAGGACTTGGGAATTCTGACACCGGAAGTTCCCTGATGATAAAGAAATCAAAATCCTGTACATATTCCAAAATCTCTTCTGGGCCTCCAGAACTCAGACCTTCAGATTCTTCCCCCCTCCCCGCTTAGTCCATGGGGACAAGGGAGTGCTAGAATATTGTAGGTAATGGTAGCTAGGTGCGGAGACTCTGCCTTTTCTAGCTGTAATCTCTGCCTCTGCCCTCCACCTTAGCTACACCTCCCTAGAGGCTCCCCTTTGCACTTAGTTCTCCAGCACTCAACCTGGAA